TTAAAATGGACTCCTAACATCAAAAATGTCATCAAAAAAGCACAACAAAGAATGTTCTTCCTGCGCCAACTCAGAAAGCTCAAGACTGTCCAAGGAGCTGCTGATACAGTTCTACAAAGGAATTATTGAGTCTGTCATTTGCACCGCTATAACTGTCTGGTTTGGCACAGCAACCAAACAAGACAAACACAGACTTCAAAGAATAGTTAGAACTGCAGAAGAAAACAATTGCTACTAGTCTGCCTTCCATTGAGGACCTGTATACTGCACGACCAAGAAAGAGAGCTGTGAAAATATCTACAGGCCTTTCACATCCTGGATATAAACTGTTTCAACTTCTTCCCTCAAGACGATGCTACAGGGCATTGCACACCAGTACAACTAGACATAAGGACATTTTTTTTCCCCCATGCCGTCACTCTGCTTAACAACTAACTCCTACAACACTGTCAAAATACTTAGTAATGCTGTATTACTACAACACTCCTCATCTTTCCTGTTACCTATCCTTATCTTCTTATGACTATAACTTTGTTGCTTGTATCTTACAATTTATATTGTTTTTTAGTATCCTAGTATGATTTATGTTGTTGGCTTAGCTATACTCTATGACTATCACTAAATGTTGCATCTTATGATTTATGATGAAGTGTTGTATTTTACCATTTATGATGAATGTATTTTCATGTCGTTTATGATCATGATTATCACTATTACTTGTATTTACATTGAGAGCTTATCAGTGGTGAGATTCAAATATGTGAACAACCGGTTCTCTGTGTGGATGCCACTTCCAGAAGTCCATTCTGGGCCTGGGCAACAAAAATTAGCTACCTGTTCTGCCAAAGTGGTGCAAAGTGGCTGAATCCCACCACTGGAGCTTATGCACCAGAAGCAAATTCCTTGTGTGTCCAACCACACTTGGCCAATAAAGAATTCTAGAGGTTTGTTAAAACTCAAGTGTTTATTTAACAAATATATATGGCAACCCAGCTCATTGAACATGACTGGGTGGTTTACTGTGTAACTTACAATTAAAACAATGCCACAACTGTTGAAAATTTAATAAATAAAAGGAAATTTGTGGGAGCAGAATTTCCATCTAAATACAACTTACAACCACAGCTGAGCCCAAAATTTCTGTTGCTGAGACAGTTGTTAATTAGGTTTTGCCTTGTTTTATGATTTTTCTTGCCAGAGTTGTTAAGTGAATCCCTGCAGTTGTTAAGTTAATAACATGGTTGTTAAATGAATCTAGCTTCCCCACTGACTTTGCTTGTCAGAAGGATGCAAAACATGATCACTTGACACTGCAACCATCATAAATATGAGTCAGACGTCAAGGATCTGAAGTTTGATCACATAACCATGGGGATGCTGCAATGGTCGTAAGTGTGAAAAATGGTCATAAGTAACTTTTTCAATGTCATCGTAACTTCAGACGGTCATTAAATTAATGGTTGTAAGTTGAGGATCCCCAAGATTGCTGAAAGAACCATGCTTCCAGAATCTTCTGAAAGGGTTACAGGGATGGGCCAAACCTGACTTAGGAGGAAGTTCCAAAGACTGGGAGCCACAGCAGAAAAGCATGCTGTCTGGGCCCCATCAGATGGAACTGTTCAGCAGAAATGACCTGCAACATACATTTCCTGCTGGACCTGATGAGAGAGGTAGATATGATTGGGAAGAGGCAGTCCCTCAAATAGCCTGGTCCCATGCCATGTAGGGTTTAAAAGTCAGAATCAGCTTCTTGAATTGCACCTGGAATCACACAACAGTCAACAAAGCTCACAGAATAGGGATGAAGCTTGTTATTTTAGGGTACCCATAACTGTCTACACAGCTGCATTCTGCATCAGTTCATGTTTCTGGATGTTCTTCAAGGACAGCCCCACGTAGAGCACATTACATCCACTCAGGAGGTAATCAAGGTATAAGAGAATATGAATACAGCCTCATGATCAGGAAAAGCACAACTGACGCACAACACGGAGTTGTGGAAAGGCCCTTTGAGTAATGACTGCCACTTACTCTTCAAGAAGGAGTCGTGAATTGCGAACGATCCCCAAATTGCACACCAAGTCACTCTGAGGTAGTGCCACCCCATCCAATACCAAAAATGATAAAGTTCAAGATCTAGAAGGCTCCAAAACCTGAAGCCACTCGGTGCCACATTTCAATTAAAGTTTTTGTTCCCCATCCAGATCCTCACAGCCTCCAGGCACTGGGACATCAGCAGCATTGCTTAGTTTCTTGAGATGGAGATATACGATTGGGTATCATCTGTATGCAAAGAATACTCGTGGCAACAAATAATCTCATCTGGTCACTTCCTGTATTTGTTAAATAGGTGTAGAGAGAGTACGGAACCATATGAGAGCCCACATAGTACTGGCTGCAGGCAGGTCCTCTCATTTCCAGCCAACACTGATTGGTATTGGCCTGGAAGGAAGAAAGGGAATTAGCCCATACTGTGCTGCTCACTCCTATCCCACAGAGTTACTCCAGAAGGTTGCAGAAAGGTCAAGGAGAGGAAAGACCAATGAACTACCCCTGCTTTGCTCCTGCCATGCATCACCCAAAAGTGCAAACAATGTTGCTTCTGTCCCTTCCCCAGATCTGAATCCTAACAGAAGAGGTTCAAGTGATCTGCTTCACCCAGGACTTGCTGAAGCTGCTGTGCAACTACTTTCTCCACCACCTTTCCTAAGAAAATGAGATTAGGTACTGGATGAAAATTGCCCAATGTGATGGGATCCAGCAACAGCTTCTTGAGGAGGGGGCAAACCAAAGCCTCCTTAAGGAGTATAGGAACAATCATGAATTAGCCATTGTTATAACCCAACCACACGACACATTTATATTACTTCCATACAAATGAGAGCTAATAGATTAGGGAACTGGAAAAGATGTAATATATTTCACTTGCTAAGTACATTTCACATTCACTTTGTGATGATAAGGGAGGGGACAAATTGCAAAATCTGCTCACTAGCTAAAACATTTAGAGGTCATTGAACTGCCCCATCACTGTCCTTTCCAAAAAAGGATTAGTTAAAGAGGGTAAATAGCTAATCACTGCATGCTGCAAAATAAAATGTGCCTTGAATTTCATTGTACTAAATAAAATATTCAAGGATGGTTTATTATAGCAGGAGAAACCTTGGCCTACCTAATAACATTCTCCAGGAATAATTGTGCTGAACTCTGTTGAATAATAAAATACTTTTGAGCTAAGTTCTGTTCATAAAAGTTTATGAAAGGTAGGAGAGACAAGGACAGAAATACTGGAAATGCATACATATAAATTATGGTGCTTCTTCCCCACTTCCAAATTCTTTCACAACTTTGAAGATTCTGCATTCAGAGAACAATCACTTGAAATGTTTTCCAGTGGAGAAAGTTGAATATTATAAAAGTCCAGTGGAAACTTTTGCACAAAACTAGAAACATAGGCGAAGGAGGCAAAGCAAATTAGTGCTGTGTAGAAATATGGGATGGCCGAAAAGCGAGCCATGAAAGGACTATATAGAGTGAGGATACAGCTGAGTAATATTCCCATTTCCTCAGCCAGAAATGGAGCCAGTGTTGTGGAGCCTAACAATGTGACCATTAAATCTAAGTATGCAGATTTCTTAAATCTATACCAATCTATGATATAACCAATGGTAGGACTACAGAATCTGTGCTACTGTCCTGATGTTATAATAATAATAAAGTTGGAAGGGACCTTGGAGGTCATCTAGTTCAACCCCCTGCTCAGGCAGGAAACCCTACACCATTTCGGACAAATGGCTGTCCAGTCTCTTCTTAAAAACTTCAAGTGTTGGAGCATTTACTGCTTCTGGAGGCAAGCTGTTCCACTGATTAATTGTTCTAACTGTCAGGAAGTTTCTCCTTAGTTCTAGGTTGCTTCTCTCCTTGATTAGTTTCCATCCGTTGCTTCTTGTCCTGCCTTCAAGTGCTTTGGAGAATAGCTTGACTCCCTCTTCTTTGTGGCAGCCCCTGAGATATTGGAACACTGTTATCATGTCACCCCTCGTCCTTCTTTTTGTTAAACTAGACATACCCAATTCCAGTAGCCGTTTCTCATATGCTTTACCCTCCAGTCCCCTGGTCATCTTTGTTGCTCTTCTCTGTACTTTCTAGAGTCTCAACATCTTTTTTACATCACGGTGACCAAAACTGGATGGAGTATTTCAAGTGTGGCCTTACCAAGGCTTTGTAAAGTGGTATTAATACTTCACGTGATCTTGATTCTATCCCTCTGTTGTAAGTTGTAAGACTCCCATTCTAATCGGACTCTTCCAGCCTTGCCAATGACTAGGTATGACAGAAACTGTCATGCAGCAGTTTTCCACACCTGCTTGCAGGTGCTATGAGATGCACTTTGCTGCCTGGTCATGGACCAATCCCCTTGTAGCTTGATCTTTCTAGTGACCTTGGATTCTGCCCCTGATGTTTTGAAAATATGAATACAGTGCAAAACACCAGGTTATTTACTTAGTCTCTGTCTGACATACACCCAAACCCACACAGTCATACACTCAGAGCCTGGTCTCTTTGCTGCTTCTCATAAATTCCTTGATACTCTTTGACTCCCAAATAGTGATCTATTAAAGCCAAAGCAATTATTATAATTATTATTGTTATTATCAAATTTATTTGCCTCCCATCTCGCAGTTTGACGCAACTTGATTATCTGCAACATCTCCTTCCAAGCCCAACTTGGTGGGTGGGTGGGTGGGAGGCAGCCTGACAGCCTGACCTAGAGTGCATCACCACGGGGCTCAACAAACTTGCGAATGATGCTCAGGAAGTTTCTCCCTTTGCATGTCTGCATTAATCATAAATCCAGCTATCTCCTTAGTAACGCCCATTTGGGACTTAGCTTATGCTCCTTATTTTGTGAGGCATCATCAGGGGAAGCTTGCTGATTTAGTATCTCTCAGCCACCGCCCGTGCCCTGCCTCTGTGTGGAGAAGCCAGTGCAAAGAGGGACAAAGGGGGGGGGGAGAGGGAAATGGGACTCTGGATGCTTTGGTTGGCAGTGCCCGCTCCTTGTCTCAGGAGCACCTTTCCTCCACTGCTGAATTCCTTCACAAATCAACAGCTGCCACACACTCCGTGCACCCTCCCCCCTCACTTGAAATTTGACCCTCCCACGGCCCCACGGTTATTTTTAACTTTATATTGGCTGCCTAATTTTTATTATTGTTAAATCATGCCGGCCTGGGACCGGACTTGTCCATGATTTCTGCATCTCCTGAAGTAGGTGGCACGCTCCCACTTCTTTCCTCCTCTTCAGTTCAGGTGGCAATTGCTCCTCTTCAGCTTTCCTAAACAGTGCCTGGCTTCAAGGGCACTGAGGCCGCTCTGCTGAGGAAGGTAAGAGTCTTTTTGGCTGGGTCTCCCCAGGGTCCTACTTGCTTTGCCGGCTGAAGAGCATAGAACTTCCCTTTTCTCCTGTAATCCCCAAGCGTGCAACCTTGAGGCAACTTTACTCCAAAGTACAGCAGTCTGCTTTGCTTCTAAAGGAGCTTTGAAAGGTGAGAGTGATACGTGAAAGACATTGGAGGAAATAGGAGTCAAAAGGAGAAAGATTTTGACCAAAGGTTGGGAGAAAAGGTGGGGCACATTTGGCGCATGCAAAATGTCCCCTTGCATCTTGAGCCCTTGCAAGCACATGCTCAAGAAGGGCCACTGGGAAATCAGCTGGAGGGCATAATAAAGATTAAATGGACCAGTGAGCTATTGAAAGAGAAAGCCAGCTTCTTCTCTTCAGAGAGTCAATGATTTGTGGGATGCTGTACGGAAAAGTGTAAGCCAAACGCACATTTCTTGTATACAGCCCTAAAAACGTAAGTGAGCATAAAAACTATTTTGTTTTTAGAAAGACACTCAGTACATTCAGGTTTTGTGTGGCTACAGCCCCTTGCCATAACTCCTCTATGGAGTAGAATTAGGGTTAGGAACTACAGGTAGTCCTTGACTTATGACCACAATTGAGCCCAAGTCAGACAGTTATTAAGTGAATTTTGCCCCATTTTACAACCTTTCTTTCCACAGTTGTTAAGTGAACCGCTGCAGCTGTTAAGGTTGTTAAATAAATCTGGCTTCCCCATTGACTTTGCTTATCAGAAGTTTGCAAAAAGGGATCACATGACCCCCAGGACACTGCAACCATCATGAGTCAGTTGCCAAGCATCTGAATTTTGATCACGTGACTATGAGGATGTTGCAATGGTCGTAAGTGTGAAAAACGGTCATAAGTCACTTTTTCAGTGCCGTTGTAACTTCGAATGGTTGCTAAAAGAACTGTTGTGAGTATCTGTAAGTGACTTCCATCTGAGACTACTTAGACTGAAGTTTTAAGGACAATTTGGGGTAGTATATTCTGAACTCAACTCATAGGCAGACCTAATAAAGACTGGTTGATTGGGGGCCAGGGTGAGGATAGTTGACTTTGGGCTGATGTTTCATTTGGCCCCTTATTAGTGGTAGAGTTTTATTATAATTCCTGGAAGCTAAAGGTAGGCTGAAGAATGTTGCAGAGCAGACTTTATCTTCAGGTGGTGGTGGTGGTGAAAATGGGTTATAAGCCTCCCCTCCATGGAGACGGTGGAACAGAGGCGTGTTGATATGGTTACATGGGAAGATCAAGGCAGGGGGAAACATCTGCAAGCTAATCCCGGTATTTGAGTTAGCCAAGGCCATGGCCAGGACTTAAGGTCAAGAGACCAATAAATATGCTGGCTGCACATGATGAAAAGATGGACTTGGTTGATGGATATCCTGCATGCAACAAGCTGGTAAGAAGATTGTACGGAGTAAAGGCTCTGTATGAAGAGCTCTTGGTGGTTTGGGTATTTTAGTTATTTATACATTTGTGTCTCAGGTAGACAGAAGTATTTGATGTCTTCAAATTTGAACGTAAAATTAAACTGTCTAGGAATTTTGAAAAGCTCGGAGGCTATGAAACATATTTTCCTCCGGCCCTCATGCTTTCTTTGATCTTGTTTTCCCACATAGGTTGTGACTAGTAAAAATCTACAATTGCAAATCATGTGTGGCAGTTACCAACCAGCCGGTTGTCTATGGAGATGGTGTTTATTGTTTGCCCTTTGGACTTGTGCTGGAACAGGTAAAAATCAGGCTGCTAAAATTCAGCAGTCCCAACTTTTAATCCACAATGAGTGATTTGTTAGGGCTGATGCACTGTGTGCAAAAGGGGGGAGTAGTGGTGGGGAGTGTGAGAGTGAACTTGTAATAGCCCATGTATTTATCGATGTAGTGTGGCTGTAGTATTATTTGTCTTTCTTATTATCTCCTTTACTCTTCTCTCTTATTGATATTATGATGATGATTATCATTATTCCGTTACTTTGCATGTACACCGAGAGCTTCTGCACTGGAGACAAATTCTTTTTGTGTCTAATCACACTTGACCAAATGAAGTATTCAATTCCATTCTTCCTCTCCCCCCAATAATGTCTATCATGTCATTTTTGTCTCACATGAATCCCAGAGCAGCTTGCAAGCTCAAGCTATTTCTGACCACAGTTATGAAAAACTAAATGGACTGTGTACTAGCAGCTAGACATGCAGGAGGCATAAACATCTTTCAAATTCTTAAGTACAGAACACTGAAATGTTTTTTTTTATGTGCGCATGCATAATCAAAATATTGCATATTTGTTTGCCATAATTTCTTCAACAAGGTATATAGGGGGTTATTCTCAGAACTGCAGCTGGTACAATGTAAGCTAATAAGAGCGCGAACTGAAATTGGAAGGCTGTGGTTAAGCTGCAAAAAACCTATTCAAGGTGCTCATGTTCAATCTGGAGCCAAAATAGCTGAGGGAGTTCTTTTTCCCAAGTATTCTCTTCTAACTCTTTAGATAGGATTGAAAGAGATATTGGGACATCAAGCATCTAAGGGTAGAAATCCAAATTACCCCCAACAAATAGCTGCCTGGTTTCTGCTTAAATATATCTGCTTAAATATATCAACTGGACAGAGCTTACCTGGAGGCTAAAACATATAAGGAACGGTTGCTAGAATTGGGTATGTCTAGTTTAATGAAGAGAAGGACGAGGGAGGACATGATAGCAGTGTTCCAATATCTCAGGGGCTGCCACAAAGAAGAGGGAGTCAAGCTATTTTCCAAGGCACCTGAAGGCAGGACAAGAAGCAACGGGTGGAAACTAATCAAGGAGAGAAGCAACCTAGAACTAAGGAGAAACTTCCTGACAGTTAGAACAATTAATCAGTGGAACAGCTTGCCTCCAGAAGCAGTAAATGCTCCAACACTGGAAGTGTTTAAGAAGAGACTGGACAGCCATTTGTCCGAAATGGTGTAGGGTTTCCTGCCTGAGCAGGGGGTTGGACTAGATGACCTCCAAGGTCCCTTCCAACTTTACTACTACTATTATTATTATAATACCTTTATCTTTGGATAAAAAGTTCCACTTTTGAACTGTTTCACTGTTAAGTAGTCATCTACTTGGAACTTATATTAATTACATCATGTTCTGCCCACCGATACATTAAAGATTAGCCCTGGGTCTTATTCTTCTGTGTCCCTGAAGAAGATTGCCAAATGCCCTCTTAGTCTCTTCTTCTTTAAGACAAACATTCTCAGAGCTTTCCAGCATTCTTTATGGAACTTAATTTCCAATTCCGTAACCATCTGCACAGCTTTACTCTGAACCTATATTAATTTTTCTAAATCCTTAAAGCCTTATGCCCAGAACCAAACACAATAATTAAAGATGAGATCTGATCAATGAAGAATCATGTGGAATTGTTACTCCCACGATTTGGAAACTGTACTTTTCATATTGCAGCCTAAAAATACACTTCTGTTTTTGGAAGCCATTGACTCAAATTCAGAATTTTTATTTATTCATTATTTTTGTCTTCTGAGGTATTTTCTACCCCATTCAATTCTGCACAATCTAAAAAATTCATTGAAATTTTCTCTACTATTGATAAAATAGGGAAGCTACCAGGCCCAGAACTTATTCAGAACCTCTCCAATTTGATGAAGAATCATTGATGAGCATTTGGGGTATGATTTTTGAGCTTGCTTTGCTGAAATCATGATATATTGTAATTCCACGAGTCTCACAATTTATTAAGAAAACTACCTGATTAAAAAAAAACAACTATTCAAGATTTATAAAAGAGAATCTTTAACAAGTGAGATAGTTTGTTAAGACCTTTTGACAGATTCATCCTGATTTCTGATAATTATTGTATTTGGGAGCCCATGTCAGGTTAATTATTTTCTTTTCGAAAGGACAGTATTTGATCTTCTCCAATCATTTGCCTCTTCTTCAATGCTACAAGATTCTCCAAAACAATATAAAAAATGTCACCAAATTCCTTCAGTACCCTATGATCTATTCCATCTAGTCCTGGAATGGAATTGCATTCAAAGTCAGCAATTATTCCCTGAGCTTTTTCTAGCATTTTCAAGACTCAAGATTCAGCAATGTCACAACTGCCTAACACAGACCCTCTTATGGGAAAAAACAAAACACTAAAACAAAAGTGCACAATTCTCCCTGTTCTTAGTTATTAACATTTGCCATTTTGCAGGTGGTAAAATGCCATTTTGCAGGCCTTATTGTTCATAGCATCCTCTGCCAATCTCAACTCAAAGTTAGCTAAAGATTTTTGTCACCATTTTTACCCTTCCTGGCTACTTGTCCTGTACTTTTTTATGGTGATATTTTCTACACAGGCCTTTTATTGTTATTGTCATGCTGTCTTCGCTTTTCCTTAAGCCTTTTCGGTATAGAAACATTATTTTCTTTGGAATACTTTGCAACTGTGCTTCACTAATATTTAATTTGTATATACATCTAATAAATAAAATAGATTTCTCTTAAAACCAAGAATTCAAGATTTCGTTAGTATTGTTCTTTAATGTTCCTCTTACTTCCATTTCCTCAGTTACATTTTCTCTACTGATTCAGTTCAAACTAAAATAGTGCATCCTTTAATTCTTCTTCCTCCTGAGAAACATCAGAGACAAATAGAATAGAATAGGAGATGGAAGGGACCTTAGAGGTCTTCTAGTCCAGCCCCTCTGCTGAAGCAGGAGAACCTATACCATCTCAGAGAAGTGACTGTCCAGTCTCTTAAAAACCTCCAATGATGGAGCACCCATGGTTTCTGGAGGCAAGCTGTTCCACTGGTTAATTATCCTCACTGTTAGGAAGTTTCTCCTTAATTCCAGGTTGCTTCTCTTGATTAGTTTCCATCCATTGTTTCTTGTCCTGCTCTCTGGTGCTTTGGAAAATAAATTGATTATCTCCTCTTTGTGGCAGCCTCTCAAATACTGGAATACTGCTATCATGTCCCCCCAATCCTTTTCTCTAGACTAGCCAAACCCAAGTCCTGCAGCCACTCTTCATATGTTTTAGTCTCCAGGCATTTGGTCATTTTAGTTGCTCTTCTCTGAACTTTTTCCAAAGTCTCAACATCATTTTTGTAATATGGTGACCAAAACTGGTTACAGTATTCCAGGTCTGGTCTCATTAGGGTTTTATAAAGCAGTACTAATACTTCACATGATCTTGATTCTATGTCTCTGTTTATGCAACCCAGGATTGTATTAGCTTTTTTGGCTGCTGCTGCACACAGCTGGCTCATATGTTAGGGATTTCCTGAAAACAGCATGATTGTCAGATTTTTGTCTCCTACAATTTTGTTAGGGTCATTGAAGTCTTTTACCTCCTGCTTCTTTGAAAGATTTACAACATCCACCTTTCCTTTTTAGCTGGGCAGATGAAAGTGGGCTCCAACATTAGCACTGCACACATTAATTCCTCCAATTATTTTAACGAGGCTTACTGTCTACAATATCCAGGAGTTCACTCTTTTGGATTTTTTGGAAGATATGGATACTTTTAGCAACCAGCCCAATGCTTCCTCTCCCTTTCTACTGTTTAGGTTAGTTTTTAAGGGAATTGTGTTTAAGTGTGGCCACACATTGTTCTAATCCTTTGACTTGTTCTTCAAACTTTCCTATAATAGATGACTGAAAATATATGCCAGGCTGTTTTCAGACAAAAACAGACACATGACACATTGCAGATCACAAATGCAGATTTTCATCTGGTAATTTTCACTTTGTTTTTTTAAGCTAATGCCAGTAGAAGGCCTCGGCTTCTCCTTGTCTTTCTTAGGCTCTCAGATTAGCCAAGTACGAACTGTTGATTTAAAGGGAGAATGTTCAAGGAACTCTTCCTTAAATTCCATTGTTTGCTCAGTGATAGGAATGTCCTTTTCCAGTATTAAAAAAGGCAATTTTGTGGGTCTTTTAATATTTAATATTTATTTTATTAAATATTAAATTTATTATTTTAACTTACATTGCAGCATAATTATTAAATTTCTGCTGTTTTATTGCTTTTATGTTAGGTATTATAAATCATGATTTTTAGCATTTGCAAGCCACGCTAGAAACTTTGTTCTGAAGGGTGGCATATCCATTTTAAAAAATAAATCTATACAGAAAGTGGTTTTTCCACTTGGTCTCCCCCAGAATATGAAATAGTACATATACATGACTGCATTGTATTGGTTTAATAATTTTCCGTTTTTCTAACATTAACACAAGTTTTCAACAAGTCTGGGTGGGCTTGGGATGCTGTATCTAAGGCTGTGAGAAGTAATGCAGCTGAAGGGCCTTAGATTACATTCTCCTGCTGGAGAATGTCCTACAATAGTGGTGGCGAACCTATGGCACGCATGCCAGAGGCGGCACTCAGAGCCCTCTTTGTGGGCACGTGTGCCATGCCCCGGAGATGGCAACTGTCCTTCTTCATCTAGCCGCCCGCTAACTCGCCGAGGTCCCACATGGCTGGATGCATCCCAGCACCCATGCACTCGCTGGCCTCTGTGTGCAGGGGCCGATGGTGTCAGGCAGCAGCCGCCCTGGCCCCTGCCTCACCTTGCCCTGTGACAATGGCACCCCCACCCTGCCTCGCCTTGCCTCACCTCATCCTGCAGGATGAGCCTCCTGCCCACTGCCCCACCTGCCAGAGACCCCCTGGATCTCCCCCAACCCTGCCCGGCCCCCACAGGTGTCCCTCCCCATGAGCAACATTGAGGTGATCACGCCTACCTTGGCCACACCTACCCAATCTGCCACACCCATCCAGTGGGCCACACCCACCTGGCACCTGGCGATAAATAAGTGGGTTTTGGGTTGCAGTTTGGGCATTCTGTTTCTAAAAGGTTCGCCATCACTGTCCTACAACATTGCCATGAATTACCAATGACTCCAGCAGGGGAATGTAATCTAAGGCTTTAGTGATTCTTGAAGAGAAGCTGGGCTCCTAGAAGTCATGGGCTTCTCCAGGCAGCTGCTTTAATGTGCTTTCCTCCAGGCAATGAAGCAGGGCAAAATTGTGAAGCCAGCAAGTGGGGCTCTTTTTACAGTATCAATCTGGGACAAGCTGCGGAAAGTGAAGAATGGATTTTATACGTTGCGCTTAAGCTATCTCCTAGAAACCAACATGTTCTTTTGCTTTTCTGGGGAGTAGAGTCTCTATTGTCCTAGAGATAGCATCTGAGTTGCAGAGGTGGAGTAGGCGAGCAGGAGAGATATTTCAAGAGAGGTCAAATGGCTGGCCATCTGTCAGGTGTCTGCAGCAATGGATTATCTTCAAGGTCCCTTTCCAATCTGGCATGCTCTGATTCCTACTTTACTGGATAACTCCCTCCCACTCAACCACAATGTTCTCTCTCTGCCACTCTGACCTTCCTTCACCATTCTAAGAACACCTGATGGGGGACGGTCAATAATGGGGGGAGGGTAGAAGGTAAAAATTCCACTTGTCACGCTGGACTTCTCTACCACTCTCATTACCAGAATAGCCATCCAAAGCTGGTGTCACTTTGCAAAAGGCAGCAGGCACAGGACAATTTGTTTTGCACCAGATTTGAATGTGGAATTAGTAATAGTGATTCTTCCGATGGAATAAGGAAGTAGAAGGAGAAGAAGGAGAAGGAGATTAAGGTTTATTACAGTTGCTCACTTCAAAAAAAAATATGGGGTGGATCACAACATCAAAATATATAATCAAAACAGATTAAAAACAACAACCAAACATAGCCAAAACTAATAATTAAAAATAGTAATTAAACCATAATATTAAAAAAAGGGACTTCACTGACACCCTAATCAGGTCTGGTCTTAAGACTCTTCCCGAACCCCCGGAAAGTAAGTGCCATATATATCTTTGGGTGGGGGATGCTATTGCAGTGGGCTGGTCATAGGACCAATAATTTAGGATGTACCAAGTGAAATGATTAAGTCTGCTTCCAAATTGTTAGCAGCAGAAAAAAATAGAATATTTTATTTAAATTCTTTCTCTCTGAAAAAAAGTTTGGATTTAAAAAAACAACATACAAAACATAATTGTACATAATCACAGAAGGCAAAATAAGGGAGGTGTTTGAGAGGCAACTCAGAGGCATTCCTACCCCAAATATACCTGATGAGGACAGAGCATGCTAAGGATCCATTAGAAAAGAGAAGCAGAGAAAAGAACACCAATTTAGAATAGAATAGAATAGAATAGAAGCTGGAAGGGACCTTGGAGGTCTTCTAGTCCAGTGGTGGCGAACCTATGGCACAGGTGCCAGAGGCGGCACTCGGAGCCCTCTCTGTGGGCACATGTGCTATTGCCCCAGCCTCGCCTCCCCCCACAACCCCCTCCTCTCCAGCAGCCCCCCTGAAGGAGAGTCGCGTGGCCCATGCGGAGCAGTGCAGCCAAGGACATGACAGCCAGGCAGCATAGACAAGACTCTGCCCTCACACCCCATTGTGCACAGTTGATGCTGCAGGGCATGGGGAGAGGTCATGACTGCCATGGCGCTGCTGGGCTGCCTGGGCGATCTGCGGTGAGCCCTGGAGGCGGTGAGTGGCCCTGCGGGCAGGCCGGGTGAGGATGGGGGGCAGGGCAGAGGGTGGAGCGGCGGCGGGGCCAGCTTTTGGGCACTTGGTCTCTAAAAGCTTCGCCATCACTGTTCTAGTCCATCCCCCTGCTCAAGCAGGAGAACATATACCATCTCAGACAAGTGACTGTCTAGCTTCTTCTTAAAAACCTCCAGTGATGGCGCGCCCACGATTTCTGGAGGCAAGCTTTTCCACTGGTTGATTGTCCTCACTGTCAGGAAGTTTCTCCTTAATTCCAGATTGCTTCTCTCTTTGATCAGTTTCCAACCATTGTTTCTTGTCCTGCCCTCTGGTGCGTTGGTGAATAATGTGACCCCCCCTCTTCTTTGTGGCAGCCCCTCAAATACTGGAATACTGCTATCATGTATCCCTTATTTCTTCTTTTCTTTAGACTAACTTTGCTTGAAGCCCTTCAGCATATATCTGATCTGGATATAATTAACTGAGTGGTTGGAGCTGGATATAATTATTAGCACCCTCTGAAGAGAATCCTCAGAGAGCAGCAGGACTTCAGCAATTGAGTCCCGTAAGCCCTGCACCCAATGATCTGTTCTGCCCAGTGTTTGCTCCTCTCCTTGCTTTTCTTGCCCTCTGTCCTCATTCATTGTCAGACGTTTCATATTCTTTGCATGGGAGTACAGACTAGATCTCATAAAGAAGTAAACCAATTCTAAGTTCAAACTCCTGACAGCTTTGGCTTAGGTTCTGTATTTGGGAATGAGGAGAAACAGAGTGAAGGCAGCTTTGGCTCCAAAGGCACAATCTCTGTTTTGCTCTGCAGTTACCTGGCACCATCTCACTTGTCTGCCTGAGTCTGCCTCCACCTCCCAACCTATCCTGGGCTTCCGGGAGGTCTTGCGAAGAGGCAAAGGATGTATCAGCCAGGGACTCTCCTCCACGGGTCAAGAAGTGCATGTCATCAGCCTGCGCAAAGGAAGGCCTGCCAAAGCCCAGGTACAAGGCAATTGGAGGGGTTAAGGAGAGAAAACTGGCTAGTGCTCTGCATGGTCTGGCTGTCTCTGACGCAGCTCCCTCCTTGAAACTGCCATGCTGGTTTGGGCTGGGAGGAGTGCGATTCCCACAAAATCTGTCATAGAATCTGATAAGAACTCAGATAAGCCCTACATGGCATGGGGTCCAGTGACTTGAGGGACTGTCTTAACTCCATCACATCAGCCTGTCCCACACGGTCATGTAGGGAAGGTATGTTATGGACTCCTCACTTAAAGAATTTCAATTCTTGGAACATCCTCCCCCCCAGAGGCGAGGTGGTCCCCCTCTCTCCTGGTCTTTCGAAAGAGACTGCCAACTTGCATGGGGCCTATAGAGCAGCAGGCCCTCCACCTGTCTTTTAAATTTTAACTGATTTTAATTATGTTTCCACCTGGCTCCTTTTACCAATGTATTGCATTTTTATATGATTTTTATTTTTTCCTGTGCTTTTAAACTGCACACCTCCCAAAGTCACTTGGAGAGTGAGATGGGTGGTACCTAAATTTGATAAATAAATTTCTAGGAACCGAATTCCAACTTAAAATAGAAAGTACAATAAACATACAATTACAGTCATGCAAGTCTGGAAAATGAATTCCTCTCCTCTCCTCTCATCAAGTTGTAATTTGTGCAGTAAAACTTTTGAAGGGTGACCCTAATAATTAAAATGATTTGGTAGCTTATACATTATTTGTTTACAATGATATGAAGAAATAAAAAAGGAAGACCTCATCAAATATGAATCAGCTCTGAAATTTGTTTGCTTGTTTGTTTAAATAATTTATATGCACCTCCCATTTCCCAGCTGTTATTCTTGGCAGCACACCAAGATTAAAACAATCATAACAGCATCAACTAATGATTCCCTGGTTAAACAGTAACTGCTGAAAGAAAAGAACATCACCACAAAACTCACCTAACTGCTAGGCCCAAATATCTGGAGGAAAAGCCAGGTCTTTAGAACCTTACAAAAATCTATCAGGTTAATCAGGGCATCCAGATTTCAAAATTCAAAAAGGCAAGCTATTAAATTAATTTTAAACCCATTTGTCATACTTCAGATACCCTCAAGAATTCAAGACTATCTCTATAGACCTTGTTCTGCCAAAATTGGAGATAAATTTAAGTTTATCAGATGAAGGTATTCCAAGAACCATTATATAAACATATACAGAACATAATGAAGATCTGTGGTGAAGAGATTTTATCTGTTTGACCCTGTTTCAGGTAACTCTCATGTTGGCGCCAAATCTTTTGAGCTGGGCCCCCATCTTTGTACTGCACTCCCAGCAGCCAGTGCAATGGATGTTGTCATCTTCTCCTGGAAAAAACTGGACCTTCCAGGTGAGAACAGAATTTGGACAGGAAATTCTACAGGACAAAAGTGGAGAATATTACATTTGGACCCTCTGGAGGTGACTTTTTCCTGAGCAAATTAAAGATGATGGACAAAATGTCAGCACAAAGAACAGATTGGTAGCAAATCAATTTTTAATAGTGCTTTAAAAACATATAAAATCCACCATCATCTCTTTTTGTTTGAGCTCAGAATCATCCTGTATAATAACTTATTGTTGTTCAACCATATGGATGGGAAAATTGAGTCAGTGAGGTGTCAATAGGATTTTCAGATGTGTGGCAAAAGGAGGACCTCCTTTTTATCCTCATGTCCTCCACCTAGCAGGAAGGCATAGCCTTAAATTCAAACATTGTCCAGCTTTTTGAATATCTAAAACAGGCATGTCCAACCTTTTGGTTTGCCTGGGCCACATTAAGTGAAGAGGACTTGTCTTGGGCTGCATATAAAATAGTTAAGGCATACACATAACTAACTTCCTTTATTTTTTAATATTTATTATGATCTTGCAGGGCCAGGACCGCATGGGGCCTGTTGGCCGCAGGCTGGACATGCCGATCTGCAAGATACTTCTTGAGCCTCCCAACCAGCTTTAGCACATTCCTGCAATTGAAAAATCAGAAATGTTTTCTGATGCTGGAAAAAAGTAATTTCATATACAAGTAGTACCAGTGAAAGAGAATATTTGCAGCTCAGGGTTGAAATGAGGGGTTCTTGGTGCTCTGAGCTTGCTTGTTTTCTTGCAGACGTTTCATTACCCTAACTAGGTATTACCCTAACTAGTAAGGACTGCTGTTTGCTGTCTCTTTATATTCTGGTGTCTTGCTTGTCTGTGTGGCTGGGGGCGGTCTTAGGGATTCTTTGGTTGGGCTGTTTGTTAAGGTGACCAACTTTTTTACAATGAAAAGGAGGACACAAATAAATTGAAGAAAAAAATATCATAAATAAAAGAAACATTTTATTCATTGCAACAATAATACAGAATACACTATAATATGATAAATGCATAATAAAAAACATTTGTAACAATAATATTTTATATTGTAATTATGCTTACATGCCGCACTCCCGCCCGCAGCCGCCCCAACACTGCTGCCCCGCCGTATAGAGCGGGCCCCATGGCTCCCAAAGCACCAGCTGTGCCGGCTCCGGCCCCAGGGGGCAGCCCGCCGTCAACACATCCCGCCTGCAGCCGCCCCACCAGCACCACCGCCCACCCTGCACAGCCCCATGTAGAGCAGGCCCCGCGGCTCCCACAGCACGGGGGGCAGCCGGCCACCGACATCCTTCACACCCCCACCCGCAGCAGCCCCGCTGTCCCTGTCTCTTGCGCCCGCAGCCATTATTGTCCTAGCAGGACCGAAGATCAAAAGAAAGTTACCGTGGCGTCGCTGCTTCAGTCTCCTCCAGGTATCTTCGGGACTAACTAGGAGATTAGTTGGGTAGCAGGGAGGGGTGCAAAGTTCCCGCCAATTCGCCTTTGCTGCAGACAACTTACATATGCAAAGTTTGCCGGCCGGGTGTTTTGGCGCGCTCAGCAGCAATTCCTATTGGCTTTCGAAAGCCAATAGGGGGAGTAGCACAGCTCATGCAAAAGTTGAAAAAAAAACATAAAAAAAAGGTGCCGGAACACCGTTCTGAGCATTCTATGAGAAAAAAAAAAGCCCTGCAGATTAGTCTTCAAATATCGAAAAGGAGGACATTAGGAGGACAGAACTCACAAAAGGAGGACTGTCCTCCCTAAAGGAGGACGGTTGGTCACCTTATGTTTATACTGTTTTCAAGAAACTGCCAAAGAGCCATTAGTAAAAAGCCCAACCAAAGAATCCCTAAGAACACCCCCACCCACACAGACAGGCAAGACACCAGAATATATAAACCGACAGCAAACAGCACTCCTTACTAGCACTGATGATGTTATCTAGTTAGCAGGGGTAGGCAACCTTAGCTCTTTTATGACTCGTGGACTTCAACTCCCAGAATTCCTGAGCCAGCCATGCTGGCTCAGGAATTCTGGGAGTTGAAGTCCACGAGTCATAAAAGAGCCAATGTTGCCTACCCCTGAGTTAGGGTAATGAAATGTCTGTGAGAAAACAAGCAAGCTCAGAAGCACTAAGGACCTGTCGTATACATGTAGACCTTGGTACTATTATTTTTTTTTGCAATTTTTCACTGTAACTTTTGTCACAGATGTCAAAAAAGCTAAACAGCGCATCCCCCCTTTGCCCCCCCTTTGTCCTCTCTGTTTGTATGTACCCTCCTTTGTCTGTTCAGATATCTAATAACCCTAGGTTTGAGTGGGACTATACATGTAGCTCTTGTTACTATCTCCCAGATTAAAGTAAAAATGAGATATGCTTGAGGGAATCAAAATAATTGAAGGCCAAGATTCTTTTCCCTTATCTTTCCAGGTCTCTCTGGGCTCCAGCATCTCAGCCCCTCAACAGGTAGTATTTGCAGAGACTGATTTCCCAGATACTGCGAGAGGCCTGCTTAAGTGGGCAAGCAGGAATCATGGAGGGGTGACTTCATTGGCTGAGTATCGTGGAGTCAATACAATCTACACACGCCTGGGGCCTGGTATGGGCCACACAGAAGCAGAGCTGTCTTCAGAATTACATGCTGTTTCTATGGGAGTATGGGATGTACTCTGGAGGGCCTTATTGCAGGTGGTAGAAGTTGTGGGGTTTAGCAGTGTAATAGAATAGCAGTGAAATGAGTGTGAACATGTTGTGTGTATATGGAGGGGGAGGAAGAAAGGAACTTTTGATTTTAGACCTAAAAAGAAGGCCTTCAGGAAGGAGGAAAGCCAGACTTCTAACATGAATAAGATGCAAGTATGAATCAATAATTGTGTTAAATGAACAATGATTAAATTAAATTAATTATTAAATGAATAATTATGCTAAAAATATACAGGATACAATTTAGGTGGGTCCTATCACACATAGAAGTTGAATGTCAGTAAAATAAAGACAGGGACCTGTGTGAACTCAACAATGACAAGTGAAAAGCCATTGCCAACCCAAAAAAGTGGAGTTGCACTGTAAGGTCTTTGAGGTTAAATTAGCGGATGCAGCCCAAACTTTTTTTTCCTTAGTGAGACCCTACACCTCAGCGGTTACACACATTCGTAATTCTCTTCTTCCCTTCCTCCCCTCAATAGGTGGGGCTGCCCAGGCAACTTGCAAATTGCGTAGGAATTTCCTAACTCCCAAGCACTTTGCCTCCGAACGCCAGCTGCAGCCACTGAGGATTTGCCAGAATCCTGACCCTCCTCAAGATCTTGAAGTTCACATCATCCTTTCCAAAGGGGTTGCCCCCAGGTATGCGCTCGCACCTTGCCCAGAGGGTCCAACATTGATGTGTGGCTGGAAATAACACAACAAAGCCATTTATATTTAGGAGAGACTGGACTATTATGGAAAGCTGACATTGTTCTTTGGAGTTGGGTAGGGAATGGAGCAGGAAGCAAAAACAGGCATAGACTAAACTGCATCAAAATGGCTTATCGTGAAGTGCCTGAGGATGAAATAAAAATCACAAACCTTGGGAAATGACTTGCAAATATAATTCACTTTGACTGTGTGTGTGTGTGTGTGTGTGTGTGTGTGTGTGTGTGTGACATTCAAGGAATCCTAGCAATTCATGGAAGCACAGGCCTGATTCCATAATTTTTAGCCCGATGGTCTGATACTAAAGGTGGGGATGGCAGTCTGCTCTCTTCCAGGACCCGGCTGGCCCATCTGACTGTGGAGCTTCATGCGGTTGGAAGATCTCCACGCCAGGGGCTCCTCTTGATCCTGAAGAGTGAAAGAGCTGCCCAATGGATGGTTCGTGTCCACTGTTTCACTGGACAGCTGCATGTACTGGTATGGGCAAGATCTGCTGCAGCACACTTTAGGCTTCGGTAGATTGGTATTGACATTGTTTGTCTTCTCATGTGCAAATGTAATTAAAAATATTTGCAGAACCAAGCAGTCTTACCCACTACTTTCTGTAAGCTGGTATGTACCACTGTTCTCCCTGGCATCAAACACTACTTCCTTGGCTGGATGTCACTCCAGTGCAGTGGTTCTCAACCTGTGGGTCGGGACCCCATTTGGGGTCGAATGACCATTTCACGGGGGTCGCCAAACAACGCAGTCTGCCATTTTTTCCCCCTTTTCCTTAGCTGTGCTACTTCCTTTTATTCTATTGGCTTTTGAAAGCCAATATAATAGACTCACTTGAATAGAGTCTAATTCTATTGGCTTTCAAAAGCCAATAGGAATTGTCCAGGCTGTCTCTGCTCTGCTGAGCCTGCCAAAAGTCCCATTCTGCAAATGGTGCTGCACCTGTTGAGTAGTCCTCGACTTACAACCAGTTGAGTAGTCCTCGACTTACGACCGGTTGGGGGTCGCGGCATTAAAAAGGTTGAGAACCACTGCTCCAGTGGGTCATGCTTCCTGGCTCTGCCCTCTTCTGGGCAGGAGCTATTCCTTATTGCTGAAAAGCTAGAGTTGCTTTTCTGCCTCGCAGCCTTTCTAAGCAGTACAGTTACTGTTTGATTCCCCGGCCCGCCTCCCCTTTGAGCTGGCTGTTGCTGTTTTCTTCAGTGTTCTGAACGTGTCCATCTGGACTGTTTTCATTCCAGGCTTCACACAATGTCACAGTCAGCAATCCAAAAAAGAAGCAGCCTTTCACTGTGATTCAGCATACGCTTCCTGAGCTTGCTAATGCTAAAGATCCTTTACAATATGCAGCAGAGCAGAAGCTACCAGCATTCACTTCTTACACTGAAGCTGAGCGGGTGAACAGATTCCTTCTGGTTTTTGGACTGAATGGTAGGTAGTGGCTGAAAGGGTTAAGGTGGAAAAAGCATTCACCAAAGAGCAATAAAGGAGAATATTGGCGGCTCAGGATTGAAATGATGCTTGGTGCTCTCTGAGCTTGCTTGTTATCCTTGGTGCTCTCTGAGCTTGCTTGTTTTCTTGCAGATGTTTCATTACCCAAACGAGGTAACATCATCAGTGCTATTAAGGAGTGCGGTACAGCAAATTGCACTCCTTACTAGCACCGATGATATTACCTTGTTCGTGTAATGAAATGTCTGCAAGAAAACAAGCAAGCTCAGAGAGCATCAAGGACCCCTCATTCACCAAAGAGCTTGGAAACATACCAGCAATGATCATGAGGGCCACCATTGTTATACTTCTATCCTGGAAATTCATCTTGCAATACCTTCTGCATTCCAGTCTTAATTCTTTCTGCAAAAAGACTATTGCTACCCTATCTTCCTGCACTGAGACGACAAGAAAGAGGTAGAGGGAGATTTTCCACGTAGTAATCAGGAGTCAAGGCTGACTTAAAAGCACTCCCCCCCCCGACAAATATTACAATTTCTTGAATTTTTGAAGCATCGTATCTTCCCATCATAAATATTTTTAAACAATTGACTATGACTAACAGTCTGTTCAGACTTTTTGATATAACCAAATCTCTTCCGATAGGCCACATTATATGGTGAATATACCCAGTATGAAGTAGGGATTAAACTAAGACCAAGGAGATTGAGGTTGAAGCCCACTGTCATCGGTGTGAGATGATGAAAATTATTATTTGATCTTTTCCCTGCCTCTTTAAATATACAACTCAAGGCAAAGAACTTGTTAAAAATATTTTAAAGCAATGTATCGCAGATTGTCAATGAGCTCAAAAATTGTGATCACACATGGCTCAGATTTTATTTGATATTAATCTATTAAATTATTACTTAACAATAATAATTTTTAAAAAATTATAAAGATGAATCTTCTGATGTATCCTAGGCTGGCCAGCTACTAAGAGACCTTCAGTGCAAGGATGTTCTCAGCCAATCTCTTCAAATGCCTAACTTTGCAGTTTTAGATTTACAGTCCCAATGCTCAAAGGGCAACCAGCATATTACAAATCTGCAAAATATTTAAGAGTACAAGGGATGGGCTTAACATCCAATTAAATGGAAGAGTTAGTGAGAAATTATTTTTTTAAATTATGCAGCTGAATATCCATATTTTTTAAAGGAGTTTCTTTGGAAAAATGCAAGGAAAACAATTGTTGCACTCCGATTTGCATACAGATTTAAAAAGCCCATCCAACTAACCTAAAAAGTTGCTTGTTATTTGCTTTTCATATCACATGCAGAAATCTTGGCAGGAAGATCCATTGGAAAATGGTAACTAGCTGGATGGCCTCAAGTCAGGCTTCTCATATTTTGCAGAATTTGAAGCCAGTAAAAGGCATCCCTTTGATGGAAATAGATTGCTAATTTGGAACCATTGTGATTAAAATTCAGTTTCTAATGCAGATTGCCTACTAATACTGTAGTTAGCTTAGAAGATTAGAAAAGAACTCTTGGTAACTCTTCAAGTTCATGGTATTGGATCCATGACTCTCTAGAGGGCGCTGCTAGAATGCCAAATAGAGTTTGCAGAATCATTACGGGTACTGCAGTGAGATGTAACATGACACATTATATTAACTTAGTTGTCCTGGCACTATATACAGACAGCTCAACCTGCCCAGTAGATGAATGTGCCTCTACATTTTTTGCTGAGTGTATAGAGTATTTCATGATGTTCACAACTTAATGACAATCTAAGTTTACTGTACAGAGATCATCCCACTTCTTTATTCCACTGAGCATACTGAATCTATAGAAAAGAGAATCATGTTGTACTGAAACTCAGATCTCTATGATTTCAGTAATACATGAAAGAGTTCACCTACTAACAAGGAGCAGGTGTCTGTAATGCAAAGGGTTGTGCTCTATTTCAGATTTGTCCTTTTTTCTCTTTGCAGAGGCCATACCTGTTCCTCCAGAGAATCACGAACTCTTTGGGCCCATGTTCTTGCCTGCCTCCAAACTTGCAGTTGAGAGACAGCACTTTCCAGAGGCTGTCACCAAAGGCTGGGAAAAGAAGCCGAAGGAAGAGGACAGTTCTGTTCTCACTACCTTGCCCACAGCTGAAACAGAAAAAGTTGAATCTGATTTATGCTATGGGTTTCAAAAGCCCATGCAGGAAAAGAAGGATATAAAGCAAGTAAGTAAACTAGCTGAGATAGTTCCAGGCTTGGGGAGAGGATAGGTCTCCTAGAATAAGATTTCATGTGCAAACGTGGATGGGCAGATCCTCACCTGCCACCAGGAACACCATTTGTAAGAGATTGCATGGACGTATGAAGCAGTTTCAAACAGTGATGCAACTGGCCAGCCGAGCATTTGTTGGTAAGAATGGCTGACTAGAATGAATAGACAGCTACTTTACAGATAAAGTGTCAGCTCCTTGCTGAAACAAATCCATTCAACAACCAGGCACAAGACATTCTTATAGAATACATTAGTTTTTAGAGGTAATCTGTAGACTTAGCATTCACTTCAGTACATTTATGATCTCATTGCTAAGGAACACTTTACGTGAAATCTTTTAAGCCTTAGCTTGCATGCTTGGTGATTTTCTGTTCCAACAATATTTCTTGTCCTGCTTGACAATACCAGTTAAGCATATGGAGGTGGTTGACAGACCATCTCCCCCCCTTCCCTGGTACATTTTGCCCCTCCCCTCCCCTTCTTTTAATTATAATTTGTAATTTTATTGTTATTAGAAATACTTATTGTTATACCACTTTACAATGCCTTGGTAAGGCCACACTTGGAATACTGCATCCAGTTTTGATCACCACGATGTAAAAAAGATGTTCAGACTCTAGAAAGAGTACAGAGAAGAGCAACAAAGTTGATTAGGGGACTGGAGGCTAAAACATATAAGGAACGGTTGCTGGAATTGGGTATGTCTAGTTTAATGAAGAGAAGGACAAGGGGAGACATGATGGCAGTGTTCCAAAAACTCAGGGGCTGCCACAAAGAAGAGGGAGTCAAGCTATTCTCCAAAGAGCCTGAAGGCAAGACAAGAAGCAATGGATGGAAACTAATCAAGGAGAGAAGCAACCTAGAACTAAGGAGAAACTTCCTGACAGAACAATTAACCAGTGTAACAACCTGCCTCCAGAAGCGGTGAATGCTCCAACACTGGAAGTTTTTAAGAAGAAACTGGACAGCCATTTGTCCAAAATGATATAGGGCTTCCTGCCTGAGCAGGGGGTTGGACTAGATGACCTCCAAGGTCCCTTCCAACTTTATCATTATTATTATTAGTATGGTTTTATTGCTTTTATATGTTGTAAACTTTATGGCAAGATGAACAGCAAACAAATTTAATAAATAAATAAAATATGAGAGCCAAGGTTTCTCCCGGGTTTGTCACTCTGAGAGTCTTTTAAATGGAAGAATTGAACCAAAAGCCTTCTCTACCCCACAATCCTATCATTTAGAAGCTGAGTTACACTGATGGGTATCTTTTCTTTAGCGTAATGTAGATGACATCAGATACAGTCCTAGGGCTCTTCCATATTGCTTACTTCCACTGCTGAATCCACTTTGAAATGACTTGAAAAATTGTTGTAAAGATTTCAGTTTGTCCTTTAGCTTTGACAACAATACTGGCCAAGTGTTTTGTCTCAATGGTAGTTACCACAGTGCCCCATTGCTGTCTACCCTTTGATGCTTTATCCCTCTGTGCCAGGAAAATAAGCACCAATCACTTTTCTTTGTCACAGGAGGCCCTTGAGGACCTGTTGCTTTCATTGATAGACCTTTTGTATGAGCCTCCTCCATTGACTCCATCAATAGGCATCTTCCTCTAATGATGGATGTTTTGCTATTCTCTGTTACTTGGGTTAGAATGGGAAACTGGCAGATTTTTTTTTTATCAAATTCAAAGGAAGGAAGGAAGGAAGGAAGGAAGGAAGGAAGGAAGGAAGGAAGGAAGGAAGGAAGGAAGGAAGGAAGGAAGGAGAGATGGGATGGATGGATGGAAGGAAGGAAGGAAGGAAGGAAGGAAGGAAGGAAGGAAGGAAGGAAGGAAGGAAGACACTGCTAATGATCCACTGCTAAACTTGCTTTGGAAAAAATTCCAGCGTTTCATTTTTCCCCTTCAGACTTCAGTGTCTTCTCTGATGAGCTGACTTGCCCTAACTTGGTATACCAGTGGCACAAACAGATAGCAAATGGGCTGCTGCTTCAGTGTACTACTTATCTGAGATTTAGAAGAAAAACCTCATAAAGCATTGTGAAGTTCAGACTTTATGTGGGCAGAAATTGTGCAGTTGGTCTGTGACTCAGATATTTACAATTACACTCTTGTGCCAAACTTCAACCTCTTTCTTTCCTAAAGCTTACCTTATCTTTTCTATTTCAATTCAGACATTTTCCTCAGAAGCCAAAAAGTCATCGAACCACCCTTTTCAACATGGCGATATCCTGCTCAGCCTAGAAGTGTCCAGCTCTGAGGCTTTTGTCAAGCAACTAGGATTCTGTATCGTCTCTGCCAACAGCCGGGTCTTTGTGGAAGTAATACTGATATTCAGTTTGAAAAAGTTGACTTCTGGTGCAAAGACTAAAATTCAAAGTTCTTGTCCCTAAAATAGTGCAAGGCCATTTCACTTTCCCAAGTTGTCTTATTTCAGGGGTTGTGGCCAGGACTCCCAGCACCTCTCACCTTAACTAGTCCAGAGTCTGCCTATTTCTTTCTAAAGTACAAATTTAGATACTGGTTGAGATGATGGGTTTCAAAGTCCTGCATAGCTAGAGGGCACCAGATTTGGAGCCTTTTGTTCTTTTCCCAAAAAACTTGGGAAAGTAGATTTCAAAGATTGTATTAATTAGAGGCTCCTCCTAGACTCTTTCAAGGATTGGTCACTAGAGTGAATGTTCTTTTTTCCTTTTTGGCAACAGTTATGGAAGAAAAAGGGAACTGAATCCATTTTTCAGGTTAGACTTCTCAGTTGGGAAGCCTTCAATAAATGGGCCTTTATTTTGCCAAAGATGGTTGTTCCAATTGCCCAATTGTTACAAGGAAATAGTATAATCTGTAGTTGGCCAGATAGCATTTTTGATAGAGTTTTATTTTAGGAAAACAGTTACAGCCTTGTTTATGATAACCATTGAGAAAAATCCAGATATGATTGCCTATATTTGAGCTCCAGCCCTCGCAGGTAGACCCCCATGATGTTTTCTCTGATCATTCTTTCAAGCATTTGGGTTTGCTAACTATGGCGGGGTGTTTTTGTTTTTTTTTTGTCTTCCAGGCATCTTTGATCACATATCACTTCTGTCTTGGCTTCACCATCCAGCAATGCTTCATCTCTGCCTCTTCAGATTCTTCAGTGGTATCTTCATACCTGCTTATCCAGCACAGCTGTGCAGCTGATTCCCATGTTACCCTGTCAGCATCTGAATGGGCCATTCAGGACCAGGCATTGCCCCCAAGATACCGCCAACGGCAACGACTAAGTTTTGTGCTCCAGCCTCGCTCCAATGACTCCATTCATTTCTTACATTGCCGCCTGACTCTCTGCAGCAGGGAACAGCATGACTCCAGAAAAACTAGCGGTTCAATCCCCAAGGTCTCTAGCCTTTTAGAGCAGGGAAATGAGCAAACACTCACTTTCTGTCTCTGAAGCTGTCCTGACATAAGAAGATGTCTTATGTTAGGTCAGCCTACTCACCAGGCTTCAGGGTGACCTTCGGATAGACAGGATATCAGACACCCATGTTTCTTCCACCTTTCTTGGGAGTTTTTGTATGCAAATCAGGTGCTCGATCACTGATCTATGGCATACATTTTGTCGAAAGTGTAGAAAAGTAGTGCTTAAGAACAACCGGGAACCTGGGGAGAAGGCAACAGGGAAGCTTCTCAATTTATCTGAAATGAGTTTCTGCACAGAATTGCTTAATGTAACTTAGCTGGGAAATTAGATTAATGATCTTATTGAAAAAGATAGCTGTATTTGGTTCAGACGTTTTCTTTCCCCTTGCAAAGAGATCCTCTTTGAGACAGATTTTTGTTTCAGTGCCAGTTTGAGAACAAAGCCTGCAGGAGAGAAGAGCCAGCCAGTGGGGACTTCCAGCGTACCTTCACAAAGCCCATCATGGTAACCATGGAAACTCCACTCAGATCTGCTTCTCCTGGTCTGAAGCCAGGTAGGCACTTGGACGTTGGCTCTTGAGAATGGCATCCCTAGCTCCAAAGAGATTTCAGTGCCTGCATTTGGGGAAGACAGTCCTCACAACCCCTTTTCAAGATATGAATAAAAATTCAGGGATTATATGACACTTTTTTGTGCAACTCCTCACACCAAGTTATAGGCAGCCTCTTTTACTGATTACCTATTAGTTGCCTAAATTCTCATATAGCAAGTGATTAGGTGGGCTGAAATAACTCAAAAATGTGCAGTTGTGGAAGCCATTTCCTGATTATGTTTTATTAACCTCTCCTTCCTTGACCCTTACGTTCTTTGCCATAGCTAATTCCCCGGCTAAGCAGCAAGGAAAAATGAAGGATGCAAGGAAGTTGCAGAAGGCACAAATTCCGAGTGAGTATGTGCTGATGTCTTACTTCTTTAAGCATGTTTCCTGGGACATGGAGAATAGTTCTGAATCTGAATTCCATCTTCTCTTCTAAAAGAGACCCTAGGGCTCTTCCTGCAGTTTGCTTAAAGAGCTCTACTCCCATCTATGAACCAGCAGATAAGCCTTGCTGGTCCCATTGCTGGTCCCTATTGCACCTACTCATGGCTTGTGCAGCCAGAGGACAATGTATTTCCCACACAGCCACCTTTTTCTCAGTGCCACCAGCTGACAGGAAAAGCATTTGCCAATCACAGTACGACCACAACTGGCAATTATTTTGAGAAAGGGCTGTACTGCAGCTTTATCTATGTGCCAGAGCTTGCTTCTCTTTCATCTGCTGCCTCTCCCAGAGTGGGGATCAGCTGATTGGGATGAGGGGCTGTTTTATCTGTTGGGTCTCCTAGCCAGTCCTCAGGCCTAGATCACGCAAACTACAGACCGATGTAGAAAGTCAGTTAACTAAGCTAATTCTAACACAACTCCATGTGTTAGACTTGTAACAGACTTATAGCTGTTGTTTGTTCTGCTATTGAACTTGGGTTTAGTGCTGTACCATCCATGGTTAGGGGTTGTGCTGTGAAGCAGCAGAGAAAGAGAATCTCTTTCACACATTTCATCTTACAGCTCTCCCTCACTGTTGAGCATGCACAATTCAGGCAGATTCAGGTCTCTGAGCTGAGGATTAAGGATTAATTTTAAAAAGACACCAGTCTTATCCTACTGCCCCCCCCCCCGTGGTTCTCCTGATAGATCTATCAGTAAGATGGTCAACCAAATAGGAGACTCTACCCATGATTGTCATGGGGTGTTTGCTGTTCACAGGGCAAAACTTTAATATCAGAACATCTAAGGATGACTTTAAGCCAGAAATGGGTTGGGCATAAAATGAAGGCAAATGTCTTGTGGATATAGCAAGAAAAAACAAGGGGGAGAGGGAGAAGTAGCGGCATATCAGTATCATAGAAAGGCTCAAATATGGCCAGATCAATGACTCCTTCTACAATGTTTTTCTTCAAGGTGTACATTTGACTCTATTTCCATAGTAGCGAAAGAAGAAGAAGAAGAAGGCTTCCATTTGTTTAACTATACATTATGGTTTCAGTTACTTCTCATTAGGGATGTGCAAAACTTACTGATTCAGGAGCAGACTGTACTGAATCGCCTCCTGATCACACTCTGGGTATCTCCTGTGACAGAATGTCCAAGGTTATCAAATTTGTTCTTGTCATGTTGACCCGAGTTGCATGAATCACACACATAAGCAGAGATGTGGAGTCTAAAATAAATTTATTAGAAATTTAGCTATTGTTTGGGGGAGAGGTGAAATACAAAGACTGACAAGAACATGGAAGTACTGTCCACTACAGGAGAAGTTATTATACATCTAGGTGACAGAAAACAGTGGAGTTCAAAGGACACTTCAAAGACTTCCGAAGAGACATTTGATGGTTGGGATTCCAGGGGAGAAGGCAGTGGGAGGGAGGGTGAATTATGATCTTAAGATCCCAGAGAGAAGAAGAGAGTAGAGAATAACTGAAGATAAAGCAGATGGCAACTCTTTATCTCTATAATGTTATCTATAAGGTCACCTCTTTAATGTTACAAGAAGGAGTTACCGGGACAGGGAGGAAGAAGGGAGTTGTTTAAAACCTGTCTAGCTATCTGAAAGTTAAAAGAACTCTTCACACAAGGTGGAAGGAAATAAATATAAACAAAATAAGCTTTATTAATGAGGGAAAAAAAATGAAAGGAAGGATTTAGAGATAAGCAGTGAATGAAATACAATAGCAATAGACTTATACTGCTTCATAGCACTCTCTGAGCTGTTTTGAGTCAGCATAAGGCCCCCAACAATCTGGGCCGTCATTTTACCAACTCTGGAAGGATGGAAGGCTGAGTCAACCATGAGCCAGTCAAAATCGAGCTGTTGGCTATGGGTAGAGTTAGCCTGCAATATTGTATTCAAACCACTCTGTCACTAGTGCTCATAATATTTAAGGAAAAAAAAAAAAACAGAATTGCAAAAATAACAGGAGCAACAGTAAAATAAAGAGAATTTTGAAATATAATTTCACTATAAACAACACCTCTGGCAGTACCAAACAACTTAAGACCCCTATTTAATTTGTAAATAGTCTGTTAATAAAAGCAGCTGTTTGGCTGGTTGAATTGCAGGCATAGCCTGATTTGTTGCCATTCCAAAATGTCTCTTGGAAGAGCGTGCAGAGGAAAAGCCAGGCATTCCAAAGTTCTCCAGAACATACACAAATGGATTTTGTATACCCTCAATTATCATGCTGGAAATTATTAGCTGGCTTGTAATTCTTTAATTCAAAGTATATGCGTTATTCCCCAAATAACATAGATCCCACAACTCTGAAATCTGTCCAACTTTGATCCACCGAGTTTGAAATGAGAAGATTCTTTTGCAAGAGTCAGAACAATCTTCCTCTTTGTTTCAAGAAATGAACTAAATTGAATGGAACCTTGATTTTAGGGTTGTTGTTTTTTGCAATCTTTAATTTTGGGGACTTGCTTCATATTTTGCAATAGGTTTTATTGGGCAAACAGAACAAGACTTCTCAATTCCATGTATTTCCAACTTTTCTGCAGCTACTACTCCCCCAGTTCTGGAGCTCCCAGCTGTCACTGGCCTAGCCTTTTCAGCATTCATCATTGGCATCTCCCTCACTGGTGGCCTCTGGTTCATGCATTCTCAGACGCGTATGTAGAAGGACAGTTTTCAATGCTATTGCTAACATTATTCCATGTTCCTTCTGGCTGTTGCCAAAGTCTGTGACAAAAAATATCTCATCCCAATAGACCAAATGAAGGGCCTATCAGTTCAACCTGGTGTTTCCCAGAATGGTCAACCAGAGGACAATGAAGGCCCATTAAGTTTAAGTGAGCACTGTTGCATCCGTACACCTCTGATGGGAACTTCCAGACAATAATTTTTATGAGCTGAATAGTATTATAAATACAGGAGACCCGTTGTCTAGATTCTCCCCATAATTTTATACAACTCTATTATTTCCTTACTATCACTAGCGTTAAAAAGCCAGAAGATAAATATTTCCCCTGTAGAAATAGCTCCAGCTCTTGATAATTATTTTTTTGTCTGTGTGATGCATTTATCAGAACTTTAGGCAGTAGTCTAAATGTAATTGCATTCTAGTTTTGTAGAAAAATATAAATGAATCCCAATATAGATTTCGTATTTTTTTGTGGCTACTGCATATGAGTTTAGAACTGACATGACAGACTAGGAAAGGTGTCCTGGAATTGCAATAATCTTACAACCCTGATTATGAAGCTGCAACATTTGTCTCCTGGTGTAATCCTCAGTATCAATCTATATAAATTCCTCAGGAAGCTTTAATGTTGGATCACAAAGAATTGACTAAATTAAATATTGTTAAATATAAAACTTTTAAAATATTGTAAAACTATTTATATAGCTGTAAGTAGGAATCTAATAACAGTTTTACTGTAATGTAGAAATAGATACTTCATTATAACCAGAGACCAGACAGCTTAAATGCTTATAAATACTAAACAATAAAATAATATCAACAATTACAGCAATGTCATTAAAGGATGCACCTGCTTCATAAGTAACTATTCACATGCACAGCAACCTAAAACCACTCCAAGACATTCAGGATAAAAATTAAATTATAACTGACAAGCAGTCAATTGGCAGTTTACAGAGGTAGCTTAGATGTTACAGTAGTCCTGGACGTATGACCACAATTGAGCCCAAAATGTATGTTGTTAAGTGAGGCAATTGAGCTTTTCTTGCCACAGTTGTTAAGTGAATCACTGCAGGTAAGTTAGTAACATGGTTGTTAAGTGAATCTAGCTTCCCCAATGACTTTGCTTGTCAGAAGGTCACAAAAGTGATCCGCTGATTAGGTTGACGCATAATTAGTATGCTGATGATATCCAGCTATATATAACTGGGCTGAGTGATGCCATGCGTGATGCATCGACTGTCCGAGTGATGCCATGGGGGTCCTGTCTTGGTGCTCTGGGATCTGGATGGGGAAAACCAGGCTTTGACTCAAATCTTATAAGACCAAATGTTTTGGGGTTCTAGGACCTCCAAGTTCTGGAGACCTTCTATCTTTTTTTCTAGAGAAAGTTGCACTATCCCATATAGAGCCTGTGCCTAGGTTAGGGGTCCTATTGGACTCATGGTTCTTCCTCAAATAGCAGGTAGCACTAATGGCCAGAAGGCCCTTTGTAAAGCTTTGGGTGATGTGCCAATTGCACCTGTTCCTGGATTGGAAGGCCCTGTTTGCAGTCGCTCATGTCTTTGTCACCTCCCATTTGGATTACTGAAATGGGTTCTACATGGGGGTACCATTGAAGAGTATTCTGGAAGCTTCAACTGGAGCACTGTAAGGCAGGAGGGTTATGCTGTGAGTTCCATCTCCAAAGGAGCTTCATCTGTCAGGACCCAGGCAGTGGGCCTTTTCTGCTGTGGCCCCCATCTCCTGGAACATCACCCCCCTGAAGTGAGATTGGCCCCATCTCTATTAGCCTTCCAGAAGTCCCTTAAATTCCACCCCTTTTTTTTACCAGCCTTGGGGATCCCAGGAAGAGCCTGAAGTGTCTGTATGAGATTGAGTGTGGTTTATTCTCTCGCTTTCTAAGGTTTTATCTATTTATTTCAGTTGTAACTGATTTTAGGTTGCTAGGGAGTTTTTAACTGTTGTGGTGGTTTATGCTGCCAAAGTCGTATGTTTGTGATATGGGTAGCTATATGCAAGTAGTCCTCAACTTATGACTGTAAATGGAGCCTGCTCATTACGGTCATAGGTTGTACTGGTTGTTAAGTAAAGCACTGTGATCGCCTCACTTAGCAACCACAATTTCTACTTTCCCTATTGTGGTCATTAGACGATTGTGAAAGTTGTTGAACGGAGCATGGGATGTCTTGGGTGGAGGAGGCCTAAAGCAGGCCCAGATTCACATTGTAGCACCTTTCTACCTCACACCTGGCTTGCTGTGGGCCTCCCCCACCCTGAGGCACCCCATTTCCATTTCCTGCCCTGCTGGGTCTCTGCAGGCAATGCTCCCATCCTGCTGGGTCCCACACTCTCCCCGCTTAGTTCACTACTCTTCTCTGTAAATCTCCTTCATGAGTTGATCCACCATGTGGCTTCCTACCCAGAGGCTGCCTAGTGCCATCCCCGGAGGCGAGTGTCATTTTGGGAGTGGCTGCAATGAATTGTGGCTGATTCCAAAACAGAGTCTGCTTCTGGGATGGTACCATGCAGCCTCTGTACTGTACATTTATTAAATAAATACAAGTTTATTTTTAATCATATCTATTGCAAACGTATTAGGGCCAAGTATGCAAGTTGAAAATTAAAAGTTCAGATTGTAATTTTATGGGCCCCCCTGAATTTCCTCCAGAAAATCTCAATACAGAGACTTCCAAAAGGACCAAATTCTGTGATTTTGTGAGTGGAGTTTCAATTTCATACATTTACTATTCCATAAGAAGTTCCAGATGGATAGCATCTGAATTGGGGAATTGTTTTTCAATTTGTCAATAACTTCTACAACAGCGGTTCTCAACCTTTGGGTCGCGACCCCATTTGGGGTCGAACGGCCATTTTACGGGGTCGCCAAACAACGCAATCCGCCATTTTTTCCCCTCAGGGGGTGGCACCGCGCATGCGGGCGCCACCGCACATACGCAGCGTGTCCTTATGACCGGGATCGCCATATAAAAAGGTTGAGAACCACTGCTCTACAATGGTATAGCAATAGCACCTAGACTTATATATTACCCCATAGCACTTTAAAGCACTCTCCGCGCAGTTTACAATGTCAGCCTATTGCCACCAACAATCTGGCTCCTCATTTTACTGACCTTGGAAGGATGGAAGATTTTGAGCCTGTCAAGATCGAACTCCTGACTGTCGGCATAGTTAGCCTGCAATAATACTGCATTCTAACCACTCTGCCGTCAAGGCTCATTGTTATCTCCTGTGAGAACTATTTGCCTTCCTGAAAAATATAACCTTAAATTGCTGTTCAAAGTCTTCGCAGAACTATCATCTGCCTTGCAATTTTCTATTAGTATATTAACCTCGGTCAGCTGATGCTCCGATCTGGTACTTCAACGTCTTTCTTTTAATGCATTCAAGTAATATTTAATGTTAAGGCTTGGTGTTATTAACAATAAGCTTTCAAAAAATCATATTCAGAAACTGTTATTTTCTTGCATGATTCTGCTCCTTCTTTTCTTTCTACTCATAACCCCTCCCCCCAATAAATTTGTGTCCATTTTGGTAATCCTTATTTCACTAAATATCCATTTTCAAAAAGAAGCTTTCCCCCCAAAAAAAGTCTCCTTAACAATGCTTGATAACTATGCTGTATTGATCTATGTGGGGACTATACATAACAATATAGCAATAAGCAGCTTGGTGTAGTGGTGAAGGTGTTGGTCTAGAAACCAGAAGGCTGTGAGTACTAGTCCTTCCTGAGGCGTGAAAGCCAGCAGGGTGACTTTGGGCCAGTCACTCTCTCAGCCCAATCCACCTCACAGGATTGTGGTAGGGAAAAAAGAAGGTGGGAGAATAATGTATGCTGTTTTGAATTGTATAAAGTAAATGTGGGATATTTAACAGAAGAAAATGACAGAGTTGGAAGGGACCTTAGAGGTCTTCTAGCCCAGCCCCGTTCAGGCAGGAATCCCTATACCAGTGATGGCGAACCTTTTAGAGACCGAGTGCCCAAAAACCAGTCCCGTCCCTGCTCCACCCCCTGCCCCATCCCCTGCTCTGCCCCTGCTCCGCCCCACCCTGCCTGCCCGCAGGGCCACTCACTGCCTCCAGAGCCCGCCGCAGATCACCCAGGCAGCACAGCAGCACCATGGCGGCCACGCCCTCTTGCCATGTCCCGCAGCATCAACTGTGCATGTTGGGGCGTGAGGGCAGAGTCTTGTCTATGCTGCCTGGCTGCCATGTCCTTGGCTGCGCTGCTCCACATGGACCACGCTCGGGGGCGACTCTCCTCCAGGGAGGCTGCTGATGAGGAAGGGGACACGGGCGGAGGCAAGGCTGGGGCAACGGCATGTGTGCCCACAGAGAGGTCTCCGAGTGCCACCTCTAGCACCCGTTCCATAGGTTCGCTATCACTGCCCTATACCATCTCAGATACATGGTTGTCCAGTTTTCTCATAAAAACTTCCAGTGTTGGAGCACTCACAACTTCTGGAATATATAAATCTGATAATTTTAACTGGACTTCTATTATCATGGAACTGAACTCCCCCCACAACCCTTCCAGAAAGATTTAATCCTCTTAAATTTCCCATCACTTTGTCTTTCTTATAGAGGCTGTACAATTATTGTACGTGATGTTTTAACAAGGCCTGAAACTCAACACAGAAAGTGGGGGAAAACTGGAAAGAAACCAAATTATGTACTTAGGCTTAAGTATGATAAGAGTCATGAATTAAGGTGTTAAAATGGACAACAAATAATTGCAGTTTTATTAATGGAAAGATCAGAGAAAGGGAACGTGGCATTTAGCTGAAGATCTATAGTTAAAATTACTCAGCCTTCTGGTTCTGCTACATTACACTTTTTCTCTTACAAGAAATGGATTACAGTATAATGTTACTTATAAGCAGACAATAGGAACAATGCTTTCTGTGCATAAGCGTATTTTACAAATCCAGTTTTCACCATGAAAAAAGGCAACTTAAATGACACAACATAAGAGGTCAGAAAGTGGAGTTAAATCCATGGGATACTGAAATCCATGGCCTTTTTCTTTTTTCAAATTGTTTAGCAGATACCGTATATCCTTTACCATGCTTTTTTTTTTTTTTTTGCTTTGGGAATAAAATTAGTTCTAAAAATTAAAAGTTTCTTATGTTACTTCTATCTATCCTTGAATTCTTAGGTAAGATGGCTGCCAGAAAGAGGGCCCAACTTGCAAATGAGAAAGGTAAGGTAGTCAGCCTTGGTAGCTATTTTTGGGTACTTGATTCCTAGCTTCGAAAAATAATTCAGCTCTGCATGTGAAGAAAGCAATGTAGTCAATTTTATTGGCTTTATATTTTCCTAGAGTGTTTTCCCCAAAGTATTATGGGAGTTGCAATTCAGTAAGGATGCACAGATCCCTAGGCTCCTCTGCCCTCACACAAAAGTTGGGTCTTCTTCACTCTTCCATGGGAATCCCTAGTTTGGCTTAAACACCCTAAAATGCAGTTTTCTCAAATGTTTCAGTGAATTACTTTGTGCAAAAGCTCCTGTTCACTGCTTCTGAGCCAAATCAGGACTGTTGTACATTTCAGCTAGTTTTGTTTGACCTCATATGTAACAGTAAGAAGCCGGAATTACACACAGATGCTCATAAATAAACCTAGAACAAATAGTAGAAGGCAGTTTGCCCATTTGTGGAAGAAGCAATAATTCTATATTGAAAGCAAGCAAGCAGGGGTGGTTGCTGGAGAAAGAAAAAGAATGACATATTTATATTTTATTGCATTTCACCTACCAGCTCCTGAAGAAACAGCTGTTTCCACTTTGGATATTTCCTCAGCTTTGAATGTAACCAGCCCTGCAGATAGTTTCCTGCCCTAGAAGCCTCTCCTGAGACACAGGTAGCTGAATTTGTGAATGTTTGTGGGAAAATATGACTGGGATACAGTGGTGACAAAAGCAATGAGGGCCAACTCTTTTGTCAGATGATACATACCGTATTTTCCGGCGTATTAGACGACTTGGCGTATAAGACGACCCCCAACTTTGGAGCCGATTTGCATGCTTAGAAAGTAGTCTTATATACCAGAAAATACGGTATGTGGAACTGTCTTTAATTTTCAATGAAATATTACGTATTCCATGGATTTGGTTGAGAATGAAGAACTCTTGAGCAAGTGTTCGATTGACAATGAAGTAACTCACAAGTGACTGGTCCTGTAGCAGCTGCAGCCATCTACTTTTCATTGCCTGAAACTTGATAAAAAATTTGAGCGAGTGCTATGACAATCTAGTGTATGGCTAGTTTAGCATCTTAGATTCAATTTGCCATGCCTCTGAACTAAAATGGCAGCCCTGTGCAAGACTAACCATGCACTGGGTACAATCCCTTTAATCGGAATAGAACTGCAACTGCTAAGACATATTGTATGTTGTTTTTGTGGCTGCTTTATTGTACGTAGGTCTCAAAAATAGTGAACACAGCTAGTTAATATAGAGGAACTTGTACTACAAACACTGCTTCTATCTGTTGCAAAATGCAGTCCTACCACGGTCTGTGATAGATTATGGCTAAAGAAACAGCGGGAAGTAAGGTTGTTTAGTATGTTAACCTGCAAACCAGCCACCTCATCATTTATGGAAAGAGATGGTAAGAAGCTGTATAACAGTTATAAAATTTATCCCAGATTTAGTTGAAATTGTTGCTTTTGTGTTACTGGGCTAAAGGAATTGCAAAAAACTGCAGAGAAGAACATGAGAACCATTACAATGCTTAGAAGAACAGAAACCATTTTTCTATCCATGTTTTTTTTATATCTCTTACAGATTCTGGGATGAATTTGCAAGCTTCTATAAACCTACTAGCATTCTCCCTCTATTACAACTGGAAGCTTCAGTGTCTTTTTACTGTGCTTGAATTTGTGCTTGATGCTCCTCTAGCTTTAATAAGTAAATGAGCAGCAGGAAGGTTTTTCATTATGAAACAAGGTGGAAGACTAGAAAGCTGTCTCTTCATTGGAGTGCGCCTCCTGTCTCTTACTGGGCCATCAACAAAAGGAACTGTCCTGCTTGAGTCTGTACGAAAATATCTACATTCCTCTACTGTGTCAGATATGCTGCTGTTGTTATACTTGGGGAAGTTGTCAATTAAAGACATTGGGAGATAAGGGAACATTTAATAATTCCTACTGAGTGTCATCTGGCTGTGTTTTTCTGTCCAATAGTTGTAATACTTTGTAGCTGATACATTTAAATGACATGCCCTATCCAACAAATAAACTAATTTAGATCTTAATGTATTGATTCAATAACCAAGTGTACTAAAGGCTGAATTTCCACAATATGTTAAACTACTGCTTACCCACAATCACAGCCCAGAACCTTGTACCATTTCTTTATTAAATTATATTATAAAATATAACTATGTATTATACATTTATAATATATATTATAACATAACTATATCATAAAATATAAACCAAACCAGCTCCAAAAGTTTTCAAGGAAGCAAGCAGCAAAAAGTTCAAAATTAGAAAATGTTGAGATTTACTTTTGTCATAAAAAGGGAATTTTTTTTGTTAGTGATAATGCAAATGATATAATTTCCTATTAAACTAAGCAGACTAGCAAAGAAAGCAGTGTGACTCTTTCAGTAGCAGAAGCAGCAGCAGCAGTCTTCAGCTTTATAATGCTATTATTTTGAAACGCTACTCATTTGATCAACCATAACATATGCTTTACTTGCAAACTCTTTAATACAAGTAGTTGTTGTCTTATGACCACAGTTGGCACCAGAATTGCCATTGCTAAGCAAGGTGATTGTTAAGTGAGTTATATTTTTGCCACTATTTTTAGGCAAATCATTGCAGATGTTAAGGGAAGGGCATGTTCTTTAAGCAAATTTGTTTCCCCCATTGACTTTGCTTGTTGGAAGTTGGCTGGAAAGCTTGCAAATGGCAACCAGCATGTATTTACAATGGTTGAAATATCCTGGGGTCACATGATTGCCAAGTGCCCAAATTCTGAGCATATGACCACAGGGATGCTGTGACAGTCCTAAGTGTGAGGACCAGTTGTCTCTTTTTTTTAGTGTCATTGTAACTTTGGCCACTAAATGAAGGGTTGTAAGTTGAGGAATACCTGTATCTATGTATGTTTGTTTATTCATTTATATTGCACCTTTATTATCTTTACATATAACTTAAGGCAGTGAACACATACAACACACCTTCATCCTCTTATTTTTCCAACACAAGCCCTGTGAGGTGAGTTGGGCTGAAAGAGAATGACTGGCGCAAATTGCATTTGTTAACAGCTTCTAATTAACCTTCATTATTGGCCCAAATCTTGGGAGAAAAGATAAACTGGGTGCTCATTCTTCAATGTATACACAAACAATAACATGGCATTGTAGAAAAATTGTACTTATGGCATCTCTGCTTGATGGGAGGTAATAGCTGCAGGTTCTCAACATTCACGCCACAGCAATTATCCTACTATAAGCTTCCCAGAAGTTGTCATGTATTCTGCATAAAGGTCCACAGAACTTGGGATGTGACGTGGGACTCTTTTATGAGTAGGGGGGAGGATAAAATAGGCCTTCCAGTTGTGACTACAATCTACAATATTTTCTTGAAAAAGCTAAAAAAACTTTCCAATTTTGGAACAATTGTAATGCAGATGTTGACACCCCCTAGGTACATTAAGTACTTTTTTCCCAGTGATGAATACTGTGGTCCAAAAAGGCCTGAGACACAAAGTTAAAGACTGTGTAAATAGTTTATTATTTTTTTAGTACAGGTACTTTGTACAACAATATTTGTTTTAAAATGGGAATGGGCTGGAAAGAATGGAAGTTATATTCTGAGTAGCAGAGAAAGGACACTGGTACGTACTTACACAAAACACATGATTTTTGGAACAGCTGGGGAAGGTAAGAGAGAACAGTACATTCTAACTGGAAAGCAAGCACACACTGTTACGGGCACGCTGCTTCTGGATACTCAGCAGCTTGCTAGCGTTCAGTGGTCTAACTGTACAGGATAGGAAAAAGTCAGTATTTGAAGATAAAATGTGGGCAGGGAAGAGCACTGTGCATGGGATAGCCCCAGTACAATACAGCATGTCGTTGACTTCACTAGCTCTTCCACTTTCAAACATGAGAACAAGAAACACAACAAAGATATCCTTAATTTGCATTGCTAACTTCAATGCAGTCTGGCCAATTTAATTTATAGCAGCAGGCAAGCTGATCCCACTCAAATTTTGTGCGTTTCAGAAACTACCACACACATAGCAAGAATATTTTTACATACACACGGCAGAACATGTTCTTCAAATAGTGGTTCCCCAGGATTCTCTAGGCAATAACTTCATAGCCAAAGAGAGAAGCTGTCTTTTTTTTGCACCACGTCGGTATCAAATCTGCTTAAGCAATTTGCATAATCAAATGCATTTGGTGCCAGATTATTCACAATCCAAAACATGATCTATTGTCTATCCTGAATAAATAAAATTCTTAATCTGGTCTACTATCTCACATTGTTATTATTATTCCATCCTTTCTATCATTATTTTGCCTGAACACAATTTTTTATAACCCAAGGCTCTTGCCTTATTGAAACCTGTTGCAAAGTCATTCTGATCAAGCTTAATTTTGGAACCGTTTAAAAATTCTTTCTTCACAATACAAAGGCGTGTTTGCATGTGAGAGGGAAAAATACAGAGAGAACAATGTATCTCAACAGAATAATAATACCATTTTTGGGGAAACAAATCCCACAGGGATTAGATGGTTTTCCTCATTATATTTTCTTAAGAAAATAATAAAAAAATAAATGTAGTGGAAAAAAAACCTTATGTCTTCTAACAGTAGTGTTTAACAATTTGAGGTAAAGACTAACAAAATATTTTACAGGCATTCATAGTGAGATTTTTGACTTGTTACGTAAAATTAATTTACGACACTACAGAACAACAAGAGCACTCACAGTCTTGTTCTTGCCCATTAAAAACAAAAGCACTGTTTTTAACAGTGTGTGCTGGCAATTTCACAGATGCTAACCAGTACATGCCTAAAATAATCCAAGTAGATTCGCAGAATTTAATCCAGGATAGGAAATGTACCTTTTCATTCATGGTAGAAAGTACCCTGCCCTCAATTTGGCTCCACTACTCTTAAAAATGATGTGATTTCTAAGATCAAAGGCTAAATAAACTAGGACCTTGGAAATACAGACCAGTTTCTCTTACCCCTATTTTTAATTCCACCCAGTTCCCTAAAACATTGTTTTTTAGGTTGCGCTGCAGCCCAGGATAGGACGGGGGAAGAAAGGTACCTCTTCAGTATAATTTACAATGTATCTTCCAAAGTTAGGAAAAATATTAGAATAGCTAAGTAAGTTCAATGCATCCTGCTTAAACAGGATGGGGCGCTGGCACCCAGAAGAGATTCATTCAAGCAAGTGAGTAATTCAAATTCTAGTGTCAATCCTGGGGGGAGAACAGAATAATCCCAATCCCAGTTCCTAACAGAGCACCACATTGACTTCCTTCTGTGTAGAAGAAAATCTATAAGAAAAAAACCCTATGAAAGTGCTGGTAGCTACCACAAGCACCATCTTCAGCCTCGCCTGTCCGAAAGCATCTGCTGGGGCAATGTAACAGTCTGCTTTAAAATACTAGCTGTGTTAAATTACTTTATAAGCAGGTCCTCTTTCTTGGCAAAAGAATGTGAGGTCTGCCACAAGATTCCTTATAATTTTGTGTTCATATAAATACTTGGGGGAGGGATGTACAAGGTTGGCCATGGAAGATATGGTAAGAGAAGAGATACCTGTGGAAACTCATGACAGAAACAAAAATGCACCTCAAAATGGTATTTTGCTTCCTCCCTCGCTGAGGTTCTGCTGAAATTTTATTTATTTTATATAAATATAAATACATATATATGGCTGCCCCATATACCAAAGGACTGAATGGGTTTGGCATCTTCACTGGGAAAAAAAATAAAGGCTTGAAGAATAGCCACAAAAGGAAATGCAAGGGAGGAAAGCATGCAAGAACCACTGCATTAAGAACTGGCTTCATCCTTTAAATTTTGTTTGTAATACTTCATGTTAAGGGAAATAAACATTTTTAAGAGAAGCGATTGACTGACTCACAAATAGCTTGGCTTGGAAACAAAACTTTGTTCAGAAAAGTTCCTACAAATACAACCTGCCCCAAATAAGGTTGCTGGAAAATACAGATAAAAAATGTTTGATTTTTGGTTACCAAGATTGGCTGGCTACACTTTTCTTCTAATGCACTTGCTATGGATGGATAGTTTTCAATAGGCCTGTACTTTCAAAAAGAAAATATAAAAGTCCTTGGAGATATTATAATTTATATTCAGCAGAAGAATGCGGTGGGCTGACGGTTGATGTAAATGGATTCTTTATGAAGAACTAGACACATAGGTCACTTGGTAAATCAAGTTTGTTTCATTAAAATTGAGGCTATGTATGTTTTTCATGACCTAATGTAAATTCACTATACTGTTGTTTATTCATGACATTTGGTATGTAACCAAACTCAACCAAAAACAACACATTATGCAACTTGAACAGGTGAGTTTCCTGCACTTTGCTGTGATGAAATTAGCTGATCTCTTGCTCCTAATACTTATATTAATTTTCTACAGCACGGATGTCAAACTTGCCATGTCACGTGACGTGTCATGACATATCACAACTCTTTTTGCATTGCCGGCAATGGGGTGGGCGCGGCAGTTTGACATCCCTGTCCTACAGGTTTCATTGCAAGTTATTTGATATAATAATATTTATCACATGGTTTTATGTTTATTATCCAGAGCTGCAAAAGGATACTATATTATCTCCTGGGAATCTGCAAGAGGAGGATTCAACTCTTATGTTCTGATGTTGCATGGATCTCTGAGAAATTAAGACCAAAACACTTCTAATATATCCTGTATTCCTAGTATTTACTAGCATGGAAGAAAAAGAAAATTATCATTTTCTTCAAGCTTCTATACAGTAGAAGCAGTAGAGAGTGGGAAGTCAGAGTTTTGGCATCATTTAATGAACTGTATTATAAGGCTCTACAGCTGTGATCTAAATACTGGAAAAAAAGCTGCAGTACCGTGAATAATTTGTATAGAATAGGTTAGCAGTCTTTACTTTAATCAGGGTTGTGCCATAATGAACTTTAAAGGATAAATCAGCCAAATGAATCAGGTCTAAATTTAACAATAACCATCTTGAACCAAGTTGAAAAAACATGGATATGGATAAGGTTCAAACCATCTCCTTTCATTTTTATTCCAGTGCAATTGCAAAAGACTAAAGTCAATGGATTTACTTCTTTTTTTAAAAAACAAAATCAGTTAAAGGTCTTCCTAACTTGTAATTTTGGAGGCAGTAAGCATTCAGATAGCACTACACAAAACAAATATCCACAATTGCTAAGTATTATGCACAATTGGCAAACAGTTTCACAAGCCATCCAACACTGCAAACATGTGCTCACTGCTAGCAGGGGGGGAAACGGAGCTTCAGACTGATGCAAGCAGATCAAAACAACAATGCAAACTGAACTCCTCCGGAATCATGTGTTATTCCAATTACCTCTATGTGGGACCGGATAATGAAAGGATAAATTAAAATTTTTTAGTATTAACAGTATAGTGTGGATGTGTGTGGATGTATATAAAATGTATATATATAAAATATGCAAGATTATGCCAAACTGGTGCCTTTCCCTAGGCATACTATATAAATACATATTGGTACTTGTGTGTGTGTGTGTATTTATTTCAGTTCACTAGTTCAGGGCCAGCCACATGATAAGTGGCTAGGCCAGGGGTAGGCAGTTGCAGGTGTGTTTCCCATTTCACAAATGCTGGTTTACACTAATTTGGTGCTAAAACAGCCCTTGGAAAACCCCCAAGCAGCTTCTCCCTTATCAATCCCTTCCAAACCCATGCCAAGGAAGGGGTCATGGAGAACACTTCAAAAAGAGAGGCCTATGTGTCCGATACAGAACGTGTTCAGTTATTAATAAAGTTACAAGTTTCACAATTTTAAGTAAACGTAAAAGGCAGATTGATTTACTACAGAGGAGAAAGGAAAGAAAATTGAGCAGGGAATGAAGAAAATGCATCCATAGCAAGACCTGGCCTCCTTCCCTGAGAAGTTCCAAAATCTGTTAAGTCAATGGCACACAACCCAGAGATCTTGTTTAACAAAATGGGCTACCTTCTTGGCAGGGTCAAAGCCTGACACCTTCCACGTTCGGCACTTGCCCAGCCTCTTTCATAGACCTTCTCTGAAACCCTTTCCAGCTTCTAGTGTCAGGTGATCTGTATCCTCAGCTGCAACGTCATCATTTGCAATAATAATTCAGACACTTTGCAATGCTAAGTATTTCAAAACCCGCATAATTTAATTTAATTTAATTTAATTGGGAAGAAACAGCACTGCATGTCTTTCAAAGGAATTTTCTGCCCTGCCCTAGTTTTTTTTTGGGGGGGGGAGGAAGTCTGGAATCTTATTGCAGTAATATATCCGGGTGCTGCACCAATCCCCCAAAAGCATGCTGTGGCAGAATAGCTTTAATATTCTTAAATATGGACTCTGTTAAGGAAAAGGGACAAAATTAAACCACCACCTTCAGTTCTATAGTTCAAAAATGCAGAGGAAGTCCCAATGGCAGCATTAGTTGTACCTTCCAAAAACATGCAGTGCTCCTAAGTAATACTCCACTGATGTTTCTCAACTACTGATGCCCACTCCCCCTTTCTGGAAAAACAAGCCTTTTTTCAGCAAACTGAGTATGAACTGAATTACAAATAGCATGGCAATGACTGTCGTACTTCCAACTGAAACACGCATCACTTTGCAATTTATTCAAACCCTTCTTCATCAGAATCCTTGCATAAATTATGGTTTTTTTTTTTGCCAACTGTCATTTAAGCGGGCTGTCAGTAATCCTTTCCCTGTTAGAAGCTACTTCTGTTAAGAAATCATGTTCTTTTCTCTACTCTGCCTTGCCTTCCCACAACCTCCCCCATAAACACACACACACACACTCACTCACTCACTCCAAGAAGAGGCTTGTTTCTGCAAGGAATTGCTCCTTGGAGCAGAACTTCATTTTATACAACTAAATGCTCCCAATGCTTAAAGGAATTGAGGAGCTTTTGCATGGAATTATCAATAAACGCACAAGGGTTAAGTGTAGGTTTCCTGCTGGTTCTCCCTTGCTATCCCTAACTAATAATGTTTGGAGGCAAACATAATATTAGAAATCTCATTTTTACTTGACAAGTAATTCAATGTTGAGCCCTCAAGGGCCTTCCTTTTTTGTTATCTTGGGAGAATCAATTATCTGGACATTCCATAGTATTCCTCTCTTGCCCACACAGTTCCCTTTGTCAAATTCTCAGCTGCCTGAAAGTTTAGCAATTAATACTGATCTCATGAATCAAGGAACAGTTTACTCCCCCCCCACCCGAAATTATGTGTGCATGCACATGCATGTGTGCACATGCACTGATGGACTGTCTTCCTGTCTGACCCAATTAGGCACTGAGCCAGACTGCTGCAAAAAACAGAGTTTGAAAATATGATATAAAAGTGGCGTTAGTAAAGAATATCCCTTTACATAATTAAATAGAAAATGTTGTATGATTAAATACAGAAGCAGTTTTGGCTCCTCCATATAAAAACCCTCAAAATCACTGAACTTCTCAAAGAGCTGGATTAGTAATTGCACTCTAAAAATAAATAACAAACAGGAAAAAAAATATTATCTCCCTCACTAGAACAAATCACCTCTTCAGAAGCTCATTTCTCCTTCCTGTCCTTTTCCAGGGTGGAAAATTACAAACAAGTATGCAGGCACTCCATTTTCTCCTCTGGATGCAGAGCAGCATGCTAGGAGACAAATATAAACAAAGGGAAGACCAACCCCTTTCCCTTCTCCAAGCACAGCCAGGAGACAGAGATGGAATACAGTTGGGCTGTATTTTAGGGAATCGGTGGATTGACTGCTTCTGCTGCCCCTTCACAGTCCTCGCCTGTGCAAATCTTTGTGTTGAGAAGGAAAAGAAGTGTGGAAAGCAGGACATGGATGAGGCCAATACCTGGATTTGGATTTTAACTCCCAGTGGCAAAGCTGAAAAAAGGCAGTGCTGATAACAATCCATACTGTTCATGCGTGGCACTCCCCGCCACCTCTGAGCCATGGTACTCACTGGGCCGAAGACTCAGTAACATCTGATTCCTGATTCCTCAGTACAGCGTGGCCAGTGGATCAACTGACTCCAGATGGAGCTGGGATGGCAGCATCACTCCTCATTTGCCCAGGGCCTCTGCAAAGATGATCTCGCCATTGGCCTCAGCGGCAGAGGCAGGGTCATCTGGATCGCTATCTGTGGTGCCATCACTCTCCTTACCAGAGCTTTCAGTCCCATGCAGAAAGTGTGTGTTGTGAGGAGACAGTGGATACAAAACATCCTGCAAGGCACCCACTACCATAGGGCTGGTCAACAATTCCTCATCTGAAGAATGGAGCGAGTCATCATCCACTGCCAGATGACTCACAATATGTATACCGTCAAAACCCATAGAGTCCTCAAAAGGCTTCTGTCCTTTCATTAGCCGAATCTGCAGGAGAGGAAAAGAGAAGACACTGGGGCAGCCATGATGGTTTGGCATTCAGGACTATGAAACCCACTTAAGCTCTGGTATAACTTAGTGTAACTTGGATTTAGAAAAAAATAATCTACAGTGGATAAACCCTAACCCTGTTAGGATGTAACAGAAGCTATGTCCTGGCTTAAGACTTAAGCCTTACTAGAAGTGTGAGGTTATATACAGATATCCTTCTTTTTCTTGGACGAGCAAGGCATTGCAAGAATAGAAGGGTCAGAGTAGCAACCTACTCTTAAGAGAACATTTGTTTCTCTCTAGGTTATTTTACAAACCTATAAGAGATAATAATAATAAGAGTAGTAAAGTTGGAAGGGACCTTGGAGGTCATCTAGTCCAACCCCCTGCTGATAGATTCATAAGTCAGAACAGATTTTTAAATCACGTGACATGGGGCCTTTGAACTTTGTGTCTTCTAACATTACATTTTCAATCACAAGTGAAAGAAGGGGTTTGTTTACGCGGGGTTTCTTTTTCAATAAAAACGGTCAAAGTTAGTACATTAGTACAGTAGTCTGGCTGCTACTGTACTAATGTAATTCAAACTGATACTGACTATTGATTAATATATATATGTATTAGGAGCTGACCAAGAGAATTCACAGTTGCATTACTCACAGCGTCTGTATTTTGTGTAGAAACAATAGCTGTGACTTACTAAAGCAGTAGTTCTCAACCTTTTTAATGCCGCGACCCCCAACCGGTCATAAGTTGAGGACTACTCAACTGGTGCAGCACCGTTTGCAGAATGGGACTTTTGGCGGTCTCAGCAGGGCAGAGACAGCCTGGACAATTCCTATTGGCTTTTGAAAGCCAATAGAATTAGACTCTATTCAAGAGAGTCTATTCTATTGGCTTACAAAAGCCAATAGAATAAAAGGGAGTAGCACAGCTAAGGAAAAGGGGGAAAAAATGGCGGACTGCGTCGTTTGGTGACCCCCGTGAAATGGTCATTTGACCCCAAATGGGGTCCCAACCCACAGGTTGAGAACCACTGTATAAAGGATGATCACACAGCCCATCAGAAAGCCCTCCGTGGTTTTGTCTGCTTTCTCCCAGTAGGTTGGGCTTACCTCTGCCTTGAGTTCATCAATCTGCTCCTTGAGTTCACGGATGTATTGGGAGGCATCAGAATTGTTGAGTTGACCTTGGATCATTCCTTCTTCTCTCTGCAGGTGAAAAGAGAGGAATAAAAATGACAACTGCTTGGAGGAGAGGGCACAACTGCTTCAGACCTTAGCCCAGCCCATATATTATTTCACGACCTGCATAAATAACTAAACCATTCTGGAAGGGATTTTAGAGACCATCTAGTCCGCTGTTTTTCCTGCCTCCCAGTGCAGGATCCACTGGCAAATTACTTTTTAGCCAACGAGTTCAAAGAACTCTAGCAAAGGAAAAGAACCACTCTTCAGGTATCTGATACCTCTCAGTCTTTTCTGTAGTCTAAACATGTATTGTCAGACCCTTTAACAGTTACACAGAAAAGTTGGTTCGGGAGATCCTTCACTAGCTTAATGCAAGAGCATTTGCTTTTTTTTTTTTCCAGCTGTAACTCGCTGTAGGCGCTTGTTTCACTTGTGGCTGAAAAGGACACCTGCTGGTTATTTTCCCCTAACCTGGATTTCCAGTTCAGCAATCCTCTGCCTCATCTCTGCAACAGCAGCCATGCTATCAGCTTCTCTCAGGCGAACAGCCATAACTTCTTCTTTGCTCTGTAACAGATAATACAAACCAATGGCAGAAACCCATTAGACTGCAAGCAAGGAAATCTGCATGATATGCAGAACAGAAAGAAAAAAAAAAGTCTGAGCTCCTAGAATTCCTCATGGCAGCTACAGATGCCATTAAACCCATGCTGAGTCGCTAAATTACCCGAAAGTCAGGATTTCAGTCATTTTGACAGTGAGAAGATTTGCTACACTGTGGTGCCCTAGTGCTGGGTAATTCCGACCTCCCAAAGCTAAAAACAAGTTGAGTTTTACAATTCAGAAAACTGTTTGAAGCTCCTTACCTTTGGGAAGCAATTGAGCAAGCCTGACTTATTTTCTGCGGGCAAGTCACATGCCTTGTGCCGCTGAATGGGCAAACTCACCTTGCACTCTGATTCAGCATGCTTGCGCTTGGTCTCACTCAACTGTGTCTGCAACCCTTTGTTTTGGGCCGTGAGGTACTGGACCTTTTCATGCAGCCCAGAGCACTCCTGTTCCATCCGATTGAGGAGGTTGCTGTGAATCTGATCCTAGAAAAGAAGAATTAGGGGGCAATTGGTTGACACTTATAGAGCCAGTTTAGTGTAATAGTTAAGGTGCTGGTCTAGAAACTAGGAAACTGTGAGTTCTAGTTCCACCCTAGTCAGAAAAGCTGACTGGGCCAGTCACTCTCTCTCAACCCAACCCATCTCACAGGGTTATTGTTGATGGAAAAATAAATAACAACATCACTGAATTTGTTACACACTCATATACACTCAAGCATATTCCTTTGCTTGAAATGTGAAAGTTTGCACTTTCACATTCAATATAAAACTGTTTGCACATTAAAAAAAAAATCGGAAGGATTGCTATAGATCAGTTAGGAAAAGAGACATTACAGATGGAAAGATCTCAACTGTCCAGATTTAGAAATACTCTTAATGGAGAGGAGAACTATGACAATTGTCACACCCTCACCTGAGTTTCAAGCTCTACCACTCTTTGACGCAACTCCCGGACCTCGCCCTGAGCCTGTGTCTCACGCAGACGGAGAGTCATCAGTTCATCTTGGAGGTCGTTCATCGTGTTCTTTCGTGGAGAGTCCTTCCACCGTCCTCCAGTCCGGCTAAGATGGGCCTAAAGAAAGGGGAACCAAACAATTATCTGCAACTCTAGGCACAGGCATCTTTGATCCAGGGGTACCAAGGCTGAGTATGAACACAACAGCAAGCAGTTCTATGCTTATTTTGAATGGTAGCTTATGACAACTTTTCATATTATCTGGTCTTTCTGCTTTTTATGAGCTGCATGTTGCTTATGGCATATACAGAGCACTATTAAAATACGTTTAAAGCAGATTGCCCTAACTTTGTACAGATAGTCCTTGCTTAACAACAATTTGTTTAGTGACCATTTGAAGTTATGGCAGTGCTGAATAAATGGTACTTATGCCTGGGTCCTAAAGCTGCAGTTGTCGCAGTGCCCCTGAAGATACGTGTTCAAAATTCAGGCACTTCGTAGCTCGCCCAGGGGCACTAATTCCTCTCTCCCAACTATCTCTTCCATTATATCCCCTTTTGCCCACCCAGTACAGGGGCACTCCTTGGTGCTGGCACCAGTGGTAAAGTAGAGGCCCAGGGCCTTTCGCAGTCTCAGTGTGAAGCAGCTGTTGCCTGCCCAAGCCCTTCTCCGAACTGTGCATGCTGCTTCCTTGTGAGGCTTCAGAAGGTCTCAGAAGCATCACGAGAAGCATTGTGAGAATGCCATGTACAGTTTGGAGAGGGGCAGGAGTGGCCATCTCGTGAGCTTTTGGAAGGTCTCAGAAGCATCACGACAACCTTGCTGAGAAGGCAAGCGTATGATTTGGAGCAGCCTTGGGAAGAAGGCCTGGTACGGCCAGCAGTTGTCTCCAATAGGGCCAGGCTGGGGGGGGGGTGTCCTCAACAGCAGCGGGAGGAGGAAGATGGCAAAGGTCAGCTGGGGTTTGCATGGTCAACAGAACACGGTCTAGCTAGGGTGACTGACCACAGCACAAGGCATGAGGTGGCAGTTCTCAGCAGCAGTGAAAGCAGAAATGTGACTGAAGTAGACTCCCAGAGTGGTGGTGGCTGACTGAGATTGCTGGAAGCCCTGGGCTTCCACTTTACTCCCAGTGCCACCACTGCTGCTAAGGAGTGCTACTGTGCAAAGCAGCCAAAAGGCAGAGATTGGGGGAACGGGGGGGGGGGGGGAGAGAGAGAGAGATAGACAAGTGGGAGGAATTCAAGGAGGCAGTCCCTTACCTTACTGAGGCTCAGGGCTGGCAGGGACCAAGTTAGGAATGGCTTGGATTAGGATGGGACCTCGCCTCATGAGGTTGGGTTAAGGATGGCAATGGAGATTGCTGGGATTTCTGCTGTTAAATCATACTGTCACATGTGATTGTGCTTTACAACTGCTTTGCTTAGTGATGGAAATTCCAAACCCAATTACTGTCATAATCCAAGGACTACTTGTAGTCACTCTTTAAAAAAACCAGAACACCAGTTTCCTCAACACATGCTTAATGTCTGTTGATCCAGTTAGTTACCACTATGTACACTGACAAGCTGTTTGCCTCCAAGATCTCAGAGAGATCTTTTCAATCCTATATGAAGAAATTGGGAACGGTCTACATAAACATTATGTGCTATACTTTGAACTACAACTAGGTTCTCTCACAAGTAACCATAAACGTATTGCTCCTTTAGCAAACATCTAGGATCTTGTTATTTAAAGTGATTTATGCATCAAACTAGATTTTATTAAGCTCCTGGATCTCCCAAATCTAGGCTACAAAATCCTGTTGGCCAGTGGATGGCAGCAAGGAAATGCAAGAATTTCTTGTATTTCTTAATTGCCAACTAGTGGTAGTCCAAACCTTTGCAACCCCAAAGGTGCTTCTTATTAACCCATTTGATACTGCTGAAAGATCCAAAGAACTTACAGGATCAGTCCTTGTAGCCTTCTATACAAAGATTTACGTTAAAACTATGAACCAAGGCAACAAGGCCTAACAAGTGAGATGCTGTCAGGTATGGCATCCTTTAAATGTAGCATACCTGCCAATTGTCATTGAGCTCCTTCACTTGGTGTTGCAGTTCTCTGAAGGATTTCATTGCCTCAGACTCCCGCAACTTCATAGCCTTCAGTTCCTCCTGTAGACGGGCCACATTGTTTTCATCTGGAAGCAAGCTGTTTCTCTGGAAAGGAGATGGCTTAAGTATGAGCACCATATACCGCTTTCAGTATGCCACAGCACAGACTGAAGAGCCTTTGGCCTGTTAGTTCTCCCTATGCAGCTCTTTGCACCTCAAGCAAGTCTGCCCCTCCTTCCCTCATATTTCCTCCCAACAGCGCCAGCTGCTTTGGGTCCAAGAACTGTCCAGTAGCATAGAATGGTTGAAGATGGTGCTAGGCATTCTACCAAAGGACCTGTGATGTCAGTTCTGCACTCAGAGGTAGTCCTTGTTTGCCTTCCCAATGCAAAATCTTGAGATGACTATAGCCAATAATTTATTAAAACAAGAAGACTGTTGATCTTTCCACATTCTCCTAAATAGTGTAATTATACATGACTTCAAAAAGGGTTATTTGTTACAGGTAAAGATGTTACCACAAAGCATAAAAGGGGATACTCCTAATACAACAGTGAGGAAGAAAAAAAAGCAGTCCTGGAATTTTCACTTGTGGGAATGTATAAATTTAATCTTTTGTTGCAATCTTCATCAAAATTCATGATGCAGAGAAGTCTCTATCAAAGCATCTATTCTTAGACTTCAGCTAATTCAAACATTGCTATCTGGGATCCTGCTTTGGTTACTTTCTAACACTTGTGTGCTTCTATATCAGGCTTTGAAAGAAAAGATACCTTTTCCATGTCCAGGACTTTATCCTGCATCTCTTTAAGAGCGCTCAGAGTCTCAGATTCCCTCAAGCGGGATTGCTCCAGTTCTGTTTCCAAGTGGCTCACAAATTCCTCAGAGTAGCGGGGATTTCCCTATAGAGTAAAAGAAATGTTAGTAAATCAATGGAAACCATGAATGACTGACTGCTGTCTCTATTCCTACAATTTTTATTGTAATCAATTCACTCTAATTTCTACAACTAGAAGCCAGAAACGCATAAGTTGGAAGATAGGCAACTTATAAATTTGCTGAATGGGTTATTTTAAAGGGATGTCAATAAGAGGAGCAATGGAAAGAGATGTTTAAGGCTTTTCCTGAAAGCCATTCTTCTAAACAAAATATCTCCCTGCCCTTTTTTAGTTGCTCTATCTTTTTGAAAGAAAAAAACAGTACACAGAGGATGACATTGATTGCAAACTAAATTGTAGTCCATAGAAAAAAGAGGATAAACATTACTCTGCTCTATAAAAGCCATGGCCTCCTAATGGATTACAGTTCAGTTGTTCCTTTTTTCACTTCAGGAGACTATGCATAGAACTCTTAAATTTGGCCTTCAATCATGGGTTATAATCATTAGGAATAGCCAGGTGTAATTCTTTTTCTAGATGGGACTTTCTGGAGCTCTCCAGATGTTTCATACAATAAGTCACATTAGCAGCCAAGATCTCTAATGGACATAAAAGTTGGGGTTATGAGTTTATTTTGTAATTCGACACATTCAGATGCACCAGTTTGGTGAAAAGGCTAAAGTAGGGTAGATATTCAAGCAAGAATCGGAGTAGATATAATCTTCCCTAAATCTAATACTGGGAAAAGAGCAAAAGAAGGCCTTGCACTGGCATGACTGGTCTCAAGAAAAAATCAACTACAAAAATCAACCCAGTAAAATACATAGCTTTGTACAGCCTATTCTAACAAATTGCCATGGGAATGGTAATCTCTAGACTTGCCAGTTCCAGCCCCCCCCCCCAAAACAAGTGATATGAATTTTAAAACCCTGTGATTTAACCAACTGAACACTTGCATGTAATTTCATCTCTATGTACCCCTCTTCAACGAACATCCCCTTATCACTCTTATTTACCTGTTGATCCTGAAGTTGCTGAATCGTGCTTCGTGCCTTCTGCAAATTCTCTGTGGCAGAACAGCATTGTTGTTTCACCACTGCCAGCTCCCGCTTGATAATGTAATTCTCCTCAGCCTCCTGTGCACGGGTAACTTGGCCCTAAAGAAGAGAAGACTTCAAGCTATTTCTTCTTTCAAGAAAATGACATTCATGTGGGATTTCTTTAGGAACAGCAAAACAAAGGAAGCATTTATTTCATGACAGTAAGATGAATACAATTAGCAACCATCCTTTACTAACGCTCAGCATTCTGAAGTGTTGCCCTATATAATGCAAGTAGACAATTTCCACTGCTCATACATCTTTAAATAGTTTTATTTGAGGCTTGACTCAAGACTTCTCAGAACGAGTAATGAATTATGTACAAAATCAGAACCATATTGTAAAGCAGATAAGAGTGATTATTGCTTATGTGTGCTCAAAGGGTTTCAAATTCAAAATATCTGAGTTCAAAACACCCTACTTGGGCTTGAAGAAAAATTGTTCCAAAGTTGTTCTGACCAATCTGAAAGCGGCCCAAGCTCAAACTTATCAATACTACTCATTTGAAAGTATCCTAAGCCTTTGCTGTTAATGCAAAACAATGCCTTAAAAAAGGGAGACTAATTTTTCAATCCTCTGAAGAAGTATCACTGTGAAAAGTGAAGGGTGAAAAGTTTATATACAGGGCATTTGGACTGTTCTCCTGCCTGACCCATTCTCTTCTATGGTAATCAGAAGCCCATATAGTCCATCTCTTGCTTGATTTCCTCACCACCCCTAGAATTTCCAAATTCTCAATAAGTACAACTCCCAGGCCACAAGCTCAATGAGAATTTATTATTTAGCACGCGCTACACACTCTTGAAATTTAAGATTTTACCACAGGTTTTTTTTTAAGGCCATAAAACCTATTAGTTAAAAAAAAAAACTCAGATCCCCTTGATCAAGAGGCAAAGTTCTAAAAATGGCATTAAAGTCATTTGACATTTTTCCCTTGCTCTCATAGAACTCCATCAAGTTTTCATTGGACCCTAGAGGTCAGGGAACCCAGCTTGAAAAACCTTGCTCTAGCTTTGGAGAAACAGAGATAGTTTGCATGAAACAAAACAAGGACAAATAATCAAGATCTGAAGGGACTCCCACAGTAGTTTGAAGTATTTAGTAACTAGTATCGGTTTAAAACAGTAATTCATACTAGCATGCTTCAAATTCTTATAAGTTCATGTAGATACATATTTTCTAAATCTAAAGCAAAGGAAACCCCTTGCCCTTTTGTTGTTGTACTCAAAATTCCTGTCACTCCAGCAAGCATGGCTAATTGTGAAAGATATCAGGGGCTACCATTCAGGAATATGTGCAGGAAGACAGCTTCTCTCTTCTAAATTAAGTATGAAAATATTCAAGGTATTCTTCTTTACAAAGAAGCTTTTAAAAAGAACTTATTCTCACACATGTTGTCTGGATTACAAAAGTAATTTGCAAAAAGCCAAATAGATTCAGTTGTACGGCAGAAACCAATCAGGTTTGGGTTGGTTATTCTAATAATAGGACAGCCATCCTCAGTCAAGTTGCTGGCAGGAGAATTCTGGGACTTGTGACTGATCTGGAGGACCTTCAGATTGAGGAAAGCTGTGTTAGAGTAATAACTCAGCCTTAAGACTAATAATCTGCTCCTAGTAATTCGGTCTTCATGTGCAGATCTATTTCTGCAAGAAAAAAAAATCAACGCGATAGATTTATAGAGATGTTAACACATCCTAGGCATTAATTATAGTTGGAAGTGATGGCAACAAGCTCTCTAATCTCTGCCCTTCAAAGAAATGAAATCAAAGGGAAAAAGTGCTCTATTTTCTTCACACATCACAAACATTTCAGAGTAACATGGCAAAAGGATTTTGCTAAGTGAAGTGTCTAAAGAGGTAGTTCAATTGTGCCACTTGATGGATTGGTGAATAAAAAAGAGGTTACTTTTGAAGAAATGACCGTAGTGAATGAATGAAAGATCTGAGTCTCCTAGAAGCATATCTTATTCCCCATTCAAATACACTGGATATTAAATTTTCATATGTGGATCTTTAAATTTGTTACACTGTATGTTATTCTTTCTGATGAGCTGAAAACAAAAATTTAGGCTTATAGCCATAATACCTGAGAACATTTCAGCCTATCTTAATTCACCCAAGGCACTCAGTGGTTTGATAATATAATGATCATAATTTACTCCTACACCAGATTTAAAAGAAAAATTTAAAGTAGATCTTCCATCAGTTTTAATAAACAATGGTGATTTGCCAGCAGCACCATGATTTCGACATTGGAAGGCATTCTGCACAAGCTTTACCGAATACTTTTCTAAACCTAAATAAGTGACCTGCCGCATCACATTCAAGAGAAACACAAAACCTTCAAGATGAGCCTGCAGATCTGTGACTATTTTGACTCTACAGCTTCTACTAAATAAATATATAGGTATCTATCTGTTACCTCCTTCATCTGGTCCTTTAATCCCTTATTTGCTATTAATTTAATAGCCAAGGAAAAATAATGAGAAGATGGTGAAAGGACTATGTCCTGGTGTGGAGTTTAAGTCTCAAATTATCAAGGGTGGAATTTTTTCCTGAATATGGCTTGGCATATATTTATCATCAAAACATGACTGGAATAATACATTATTTGCATATTTTTAAAGTTTGTAGCCCTGTTTCCAATACCATTTTTGAGATAAATCAACAAAATCTGTTCTTCATAAATAGCAGAAAGGGCAAAATTGCTTTGATTAACTCTCTCTGCACTACTGTCATCTGGGACATTAACTTTTAAAAGCCACAGGCTTAATTCAAGCTTGGTCCTGGGCAGATGGCCCAGCTATGGCAAACTTCAATGTGGGGATGGCATTCTTTCATCACATTAAAATCAACAATTTACTGTGCATTAACTCACAGTAGTTGCCACGTGCAGATTCCTCCTCCTTTTTCAGAACTAGCTTCAACCAAAAAGCTCCACTCCAGAATCAAACATTCCAGAAGATTTCCATTGCAAAATAATAATAAAAAAAGAATGGATATATTCTTGTAAGTTTGCGTAGGTATTTGCATAAATTGTTAGCAAGACCTATTTTCATACCCCATTATCCTTCCATCATCTGTATCACTTATTCAAAATCAAAGGTGGTTTGGTTATGGCTCCTCAAAATAACTGCCCGGCTAAAAATCAATTCTAGTTAAGTTAAGAAGATTTTAACTGATATTTAAGTAAAGGAAAACCAGGAGTCATCTTCCCTCCAGCTGATACTTCTTAATACCTTTAGTTTTATAATAGAAGATTGAACAAGGCATCAAGAAATGAAAACAATTTTTGTTACTTTAGATCAGCGCCCTCCCAACCTTTTGAGTACCAGGGACCAGTTCCGTGGAGAAAGGTTTTTCCATGGACTGGAGAGGGCGTGGTTCTACATGCTACCTGCATACTGCGGATGGGGCTTCGCTTGTTTGTATGGCCCGGTTGCTGGCATGTCGCAGACCAGTGCCGGTCCATAGACCAGGGGATTGGGGATCCCTGCTCTAGACATTAAGCATAGAAACAATGCTTAATGAAATTAGGAATTTCAAATTATTGTTCCTCCAAAGAACACTCAGTGTAGTATAACAAAAATGTTGTGGACAGAGGTCTGTTTTTCTTACAATTGTACCATTTCCCATCTGAGGAATGGAGAAATGGGGTCTTCAGTGGAATAGGGTTAATTCACCATAGTTGAAGTAATAAACATTGTTACTTAAAAAGGATATCTGCCCCACTCCTGAGCAGGAATATTCTGTACACTGAATTATTGAACTGCATCGTGACAGATTCATTTTTAATCAGTTTTTCAGTTTTGATCTCAAACTATACGGATTTAACAACAGATTCTTCAGATCTATCTTCATTCCTATTAAGTTGCATAGGTTACTGAACTGCATCGTGCCAGATTCATTTTTAATCAGTTTTTCAGTTTTGATCTCAAACTATACGGATTTAACAACAGATTCTTCAGATCTATCTTCATTCCTATTAAGTTGCATGCAAAGTTTATCTTGATCAAGTTCAATCATGGCAACCTGCAATTGCCTGTGACATCTTGTCACATATGCATCCAAATACAGGTGTTCTTTGTAGTCAGTAGTGTTATGTGTGTGTATATATGTGTATAAGTGTTTCTGCTAGGGTAACAGAGGGAAGAGAAAGGTGGAGCTTTAAAAACAAAAGGAACTTTGGGAAGAAGGGAAAGGAGATGGAGGTGTAAGGTCTGGCAGAAACAAGATGGATCTATACAGTATTGGCTGTAGAAGGGTTATTGTTGGTTCAAAGACAGGTTGGGCTAAGATTCTTAGGAGTGGAGCAGGGTGTAACTTGAAGAACAGAAGGAATCTTTGTGGTACAATTCTAAAAATGGAGTACAGGAAACTGAGAAAGATGTGGAAGCGGAATTATACCCAGTGGTGGGATTCAGCCGGTTCGCACCACTTCAGCAGAACCAGTAGCTAATTTTTTGTTGCCCTGGCTCAGAATGGACTTCCGGAAGCGACATCCATACAGAGAACCGGTTGTTCACATATTTGAATCCCACCACTGCTCATACCCTACCAGAAGTGAGGATGCAACTTTTAAACAGAAGGAAAGAATGATACGTAGCATAATTATCCCTAATTTCCCTCTAAGTAAAGTAAAGGTTTCCCCTGTCCAGTCCTGTCTGACTCTAGGGGGCGGTGCTCATCTCCATTTCTTAGCTGAGGGAGCCAGTGCTGTCCGAAAGCATTTCCATGATCAGGTGGCCAGCATGACTATACACTGAGGTGTACAGAATGCTGTTACCTTCCCACTAAAGTGATACCCATTTATCTACTCGCATTTGCAGGCTTTCAAACTGCTAAGTGGGCAGGAGCTGGAGTGAATAATGGGAGCTCACCCCGTCATGCAGTGCTCAGGTCCTGAACCCAGGCTGTCAGCTTTCCAGGGGAGAAGCTCAGTGTCTTTAACCACTGAGCCACTGCACGCCCCTAGTAGGAAGTAAGAATAGGAATATGGAAATAGTAGTATTCAATAGAGAGACAACCCTCTGCACACGTAACAAAATGAAACTT